ACAATGAAGAGGTGTTAATGAGAAATCGGTCTATTTTCTACCCAATGAGGAGGGGTAAAGAAGCTTTGAAATAAACTGTGTGCTGATTCTTTTACAGACGGATTAATGTTTAGTTTCTGGTAAGATCTAGCAAGTTCAGGGGCATTTAGCCATGCAGTCAGCCAATATCGACTTAATGTCATTAACAGTCGTTGAGCGCATTGTCTATTATATTGGATCAGCAAGTTAAGTCTTCGAGAGCAATCGGAAATCGTCGAAAATGTTCGACTCGACAAAGTTCAAAGCCCATTCATTATTAATTTGAGTTGTTGCACCATAAATCTTGAAATTCCCCCAATACTCGGTGCTATCAAATATACTATTTTAAAAATTAGAAACAAAGATGCCGTTAGACAGAAAAATCGCCGAGTAAGAAGTTTAGAAGGACCTAGAAGAAGATAGTGTTTAATTGAATTTTCTTTCCTTTTTTTGGACGTGTCCGTTCCCTTTAGTTTTTGACTGGTTTTGCAAAATTAGAATTATAACATCTGTAAAAGATATATTATGTTAATTATTTTATTTCCGTGATTTTCTCCTTTCTAACTTTAGTTGATTTCACCACTTTTGGGGTCAGTTAAAAGAAAAAAACTTAGCAAATGTAGTCGAGGTCAAGATTAGAGAAAAAAAATCCTCAAGTCACTTTGCAAAATTGTGACAAAACTGGCTCGAATATCCCGCAAAAAAGCTTTCATGTGAATAGTAACGTCATAGGAATTTGTCGACCTCAGTCTAAAAACTGAGAACGATCGTATCTGAGCGATAAACACGTCTTCTCAATTGACTGAGAGACAAAGGTTTAATCCAAGATTCACATAATGCAACTTTAAGAAAAATCTTTCTTTTTTTTTTTAAATTTAATTCTTAGAAAGCGGAAATGGAACCATTTATTGTTGCAGGTGAAGTCAAGAGGTTACATTTGAATGGCGCGACATAAGGATTGTGATCGGCAAAAATAAGGTTTTTTTTCCCGCAGACTGAAAGGTTTAGATGTACATCACGTCTCCGTTACTGACCCTGGGTGTAGAAGAGTTAATCCGCTTATTACCCGATCACGAAATTTGAGCACTGGAAATACACTGTACTTTTCTAGCAAGGACAAGTGAGTTCGCTGGCATTACTAATGAGGATTAAAACATCGGCCTTAATGTCATGGTAGTAGTTGTACGACAATTGTTTATTATATTTTGTTTTCCACTATGTTCGAAGATTTTCGACTACGGATGTCTAAAAAGAAATATTAATTACAAGAAAGAACCATTCAAGGAATGTATATCATCAGACTGGGACGCATGGAGCGATATACATAGTTCAAAAACTCATTAATAATTCTTAAAGAAACAACAAAAGAACTAAATGTTTAACAAGTGTCTTATACCCGATGAAGACACGACTTAACTTTACGTCCAATTTTTTAGGCCAAAATAAACCCAAATCTAAATATTAGTGCAAGAATGAGTTGATCTATATCAGGGATTTTGAGGTCTTTCAAGAAACTCGCAGTCGTGTATTATCAGGTTTAAAAACTCGAGGCGAATATACTCCTGCTCGAGGACTTCATCTAATCTTAATACATAAAGCCGACAAAACCAAGTGAGCCGAGTTAGGAATTAGGCGCAGGGGAGTCCCGTCCCTTTAGTTGGAACCGCGACGAAAAATGGGGGTAAAAACATACCACTTGCATTATTTTTGATCGAATGGGGGAATAAGACCACAAGATCTTTTCGATTCCTTGAGCCTTACCTTTCTCTCTCTCTTTTCTATATATTTTATTTTTGCCACAAAATTAAAGGCCTCCTTATTTCTTCTCTTTTCCAATGTCGGACTAAATGCCTTGGTAACGCCCGGCGTAGGAGGCGACGGAATTGAATTAGCCTAACAAACTGACCGGTCAACTTCACATGACAATTTGGGAATCTATTTTTGGCTGCAATTTGGAGAGATTGTCTGCAATGCGATAGAACATTTAAAAACGCGATATAAACCTGCGCAGGAAATAAAATAAGCACATTAAAATACTTTATATATTAAAATGTTTAGTTACAGGGTTAATTAACAGTGGCTTGTCTACAGAATGGAAACGTGACCGAGGGGGGTGGTGGGCGTGGGTCAGTGCCTTCAATACTAGACGGGTTCTTGTACATTAATGGTAATTCCCAGCAAATCACATTCACGGAATAATTCGGAATAAAACCCCTTGAGAGTTAATTTTTGGACACATTATTTGTACAATTTTGTTTAAAGATTCCGTCAGATAATATCGTCAACATTATAACTCGCAGAGACTTCTATGTCACACGATTAGGGGCAAATACCATGGAGTAGACAAGTTATGATAAGACCTTGCTGACAGTTTTCTGAGTAACACGATGACAATCGTGCATATATACAGAAAACGCGGTTCCAAAGCCAAACAATTTAGTTGAAAGGAAAACGATCACGCAAATTTATTCCATTTTTATCATGTGCTTATTTGCTGCCCAGCGGAAAAATTCCGAAGAATGGCTGAGTAAGCTCGGAAGTTGTGAGTCATTTCTCAGAAAGGAAACGAGGCATGCAAAAATGAGTGGGTATAGGTTACGACAAGAACACTATTTCCAGATTTATTGTCACGTTCTCGTCCTAAAATAGTAGACGCCGCTAAGCTGATATAAAAACATACCCATAAAGGAAAGCAAAACTTTATTTCTGCCGGCGGCCGGATGCCCATGAAAATTTGCATGAAAATGGTCTCATTGAAAGAATATTGGATTATTGTCGATCTTCTCCATAGCACAAAGAAAAGGACAGTCTCGCCTATTAAAAGGTGGGCGAAATCCATGGGAAAATATTCCATTCTCGCCTCTTTTGAAAAAGATCTTCGTCCACAAACCCCAAACGTGAGTGCATGAGCACGCCTAGACTTTCCCGCAAGTCGAATTTCTTGGGCAACAAAATCGCGAAAAAAGGCGTTGAAAAGCTTGTTGGCGATACGCTTTAAAGCAGAACAATATTTACTCCTTAAACACGGATAAACAAACATGTACTTTATGGTCACACCATGGTCAAACGGGCTAAAAAGTAAGAACTACTCTACATCACTCATATTTGACTCTAAGCTGAGAGGGCGGAAGAGTTTTTAGATTAACCTGTAAGGCGTTCGATAACATAAATAGTGACTGGATAGTAATAAGCAATCTCACTTAACTTTTAAACAGTCAAGAGTTCCATACTTGCCCTTGAAGCACTGTTTTATCAAGTTTATTGGACAGAACCACAAATAAACTAAGAGTACCACAGCTCCTTTAAAAAATAATGCACCCACACTTAGCGCAATTCTCTCACAGAATCGCCTCACAAAAAGGACCATCATGGGGCACATAGTTCTGGCAATTTTAGAGTGGCGAACAATTTAGAGGGGGAGTCTGTCACGTGGAGGGTTTTTCAAAAAGCAACAAACAAACAGACAAACAAAAAGGTATTTGTAGGGATAAACGAGCAGTTCCGACACGAAAGGGAAAAACACTATTGTAACTTGGTTGTTGAAGAGTAGCCATGCATATGAGGGGATAGCAGAGGTCTTCAGTTTAAATTGAATTTTCAACGGCTCTGAATCTCAAGACCCACACTGATACACGACCCGAGCTGGGAGGCAAGGGTTTACGGTAGGTTATAAAGCTAAAGAATGCAACCAGGACTGAATTGTAGCCTGCGGGCCAAAATAGCGTGCTAACTTGTAGCCCCTTAAAATTACAATGGCACACGAATGCGACATGTTAATCCCTTGAAGAAAGCTGCATGTTATAGTTAGCAAACAAAACATCACGCGAATTTTCTATAGCTTGATAAAGCATTTGTTGGCCGGAAAAGGCGGCAACGTGAGAATTTTATTGCAGAGAGATGAAACACGACTCCCAACATACAGTAATGCTTAGTGTTGAAAGACATGAGACGACTAAGGTTTTCAAACACTCGTTGAACACGGCAGATCGTTTACACATATGATAACTGTTGGATTCCCTTGGACAAAAAATAACACCATGTCACCATGGCATAAAGGAAACACAGCAGGAAAAGCGAAAGTTAAACAAACACCACACACCGCTTAAAAAGGAAATTATACACGGCATCCTTTCTTCAACAACCCCCGACGACCGTCCAAGCGCTGTGAAAAAAGAAGTTATATTGGCAGACAAAAACCCTAACTATAACTAAGGCAACCCAGCCAGATTTTTCATGAGTGCTCAGAAAAAATACAATTTCCTATATCTTTTACATAATTACATTAACAAACCTAAAAGCTTCCAAACCTCCGAACAGCGGTTTGAGACAAGCCAGATTTTTTTTTCAAACTTGTTCCCTTTTTTGGGTGACAGAAAATCTTGATATTGAGGTGGTAAACAATTCAAAGCAATTGCCTCAAATCGAATATTTTCCCGCGGTGTTGTTTGTTTGTCAAACTTTATTGGTCCCTCATTAAACAACTTTTGTCAAATTTGTGGTTTGGTCATTTTAATAATATTTGGAAACTTTGGGATCATTTTTCTTCCAGCTCATTGCCGCCCGCTGGATCGGCACGGAAGAGGAACAGCCAACAGTCTGGCACGCAAATATAGGGATAAGAACAAACGCGTGATATGAATCTAACGTGCTTGAACCATTTACGCTGAATTAACTAGAATCGAGTTACCTAAGTCTTTCAAGAGAGTAACAAATGCTTGACCAGAAATATCGCTCGATAATCTCTATAGCGTAAAAGCGCACGTGCGTACAGCGGCGTCACGATAAAGTGATGTGACGTAACAAGCCATACCATGATACTCTGTAGATACGTGACGTATATAAATAAATCTATTGTTTCTTCAAAGCATAAAAGCCTCCCGTTCAACACCCACCTCACCAGAACAGCTTAGTATCTGGAGGTGTGAACTAGTTGAGAAGCGTTATTCGAAAAATTACGAGTGCTATTCACGTAGGAGTTCACTATGCAGGACTTAACTTTTGCTAGTTCGCCTGAGAGCTCACCGACGCAAAAGAAACGACGAAGAATGAGTCGCAAAGTTCCAATTGACATGATGTTGCAAGTTCAAATCGCTTCGGTTCAACCAAAGGACAGAGAAGCGCTGAAAAAGCGACTAAGGAAGCAACTCACGTGTTGTGAAATCAATGAAATAACAACTTCTGGACTCACCGCGCTTAATCAGTGCGTGTTAGACGGGAATTTGGAGAGCGCAAAAATGTTAGTAGAGTTAGGCGCTGATGTGAACAAGAAAGATAGATTTGGATGGACTCCTTTGCATTATGCGGCTAGCGAGGGATACGTAGACATTTGCCGCTTTCTCTTGCGGTGCGGCGCAAATGTGCGCATCGAGGACAAAGATGGAAAATTCCCTGTTGAAGTAACAGACGATGAACTCGTTCTTCGCATTTTGTTGAGAGCGACTTTGTTTTATAATATGCCGCCTTTGGAAAGAGATTCAATACAACACAGTTGTTGAGAGTTTGGACCACGAACTATAAAAATAAAAACGATACGAAGTCAAAAAAGGGATCGCAAGAAAGAAATCAAGGATTTGGAACATCGGATCGCAATTCCGTGCAAACACAAACGGGGAAGAAGCAGAGAAGGAACTAACTGAGAAATTGACAGGCTCTATATCAGGAAATAGTTATGTTAAAGTTAAGTTGACACTTGAAAGGCAAGGATCTTGGCACAGAATTTCACAAATATTTACTTTGCCGACTCCTGGAGGATGTGGCATTAGGGAACTTCAGTTTGTGTAAATAATGTTCTAAAGCCCAAATGATAAGAGATTTCACTTTGACAAAGCTTTTCACCGACATATGGGAGCCAACTGCAACGCTATCGTTTCGTGCCATCACGTCTTTCGCATACCCTGACACAACATTTACGCATTTATTGCCGCCAATTCCATTTGAGATCAATTAACGCTAAGCTGTTATAAAGTTAATAAAGGGAATAAAGTTTATTAAAAAGTCAAATTTGCTTGAAAGAGGTCTCTGCTCTGTTTCATCTGGTATCACCGTTTTGCTACCGAAGCGAAATTTCGTGTTACGTCCACGTTGTTTGTTATCAATAACGATCAACCATCCATGTAAAATCGAACCAAAACATAACCTTGAAACTAGACACTAGTGATAGCGAGTAAAATCCTTTCATTATCTTATCTTTCACAATCCCATTAAAGTGGTCAAAAGGTTGTTGGAATTCCCTGATCTTTGTTCACTTTCAATGGAGGGATGAAAACAGTTGTCCAAATCTTAACAACAACCGAGGGAATGTTATGTTTAGAACAGCGCGATTTCTTTAGCAGTTTCCAAAAGTTTGCGGCACAAAAATGTAAGAATGCTAAAACTTTGGAAAAGCAATTTAAACGTTTTCAGCAGAAAGCAAAGAAATACGTAGTAGTATAGCATCCCTACAGCGTTTGTTGACGTTTCTTATTTTTTTACTTCTCAAAAGTTCTCTGTCGACTTTTCCATGGTTCAATTAGAAAACACAAATGCTGATTCTTAGCTCATTGTTTTTAATCATCACAACAGAAAATTATTCTAATCAAACGCTTATGCATCGGAATTGATTTCTTGTAGGAAACACATTTTCTTTATATTAAAGCTGATTTCCTCGTTTCCTGATTGTGATTAGGACAATAAGTGGACTTATCTGCTATACAGAATAACAGCTTGGCGCGGACTCACAAAGCCGGCTCGAATGATCTTCCGTTTTCTGCAAGCCGATTGCCTAATGTCAGCGTCTTTTGCGTCCAATGGTGGGTGATATTGTTTTCTTGCTTCAGCGCTTTTGCGTGTATGCAAAACAAACCACCAGGGACCAATAAAAGGATAAACATAATCACAAGGCACAATATCTTATATTATAATTCGAACGAGAAGATACATTTCGTGCCATCGACGAGGTCATTTTGTCCAAGTATCAATCAACGATTTTAATATTCCATAGCAGCATTTGCTGCTGTCCGGCCAGGCTAGGCTGTTTGTGATGTCAATTGGCAATTCTTGCAGATCCGCTTGAGAAGTCACGACTTTGCGCGCACGCACTTTTATAATTGACTGGTTCTGAAAACTTTCGTTCACGCGAGGAATTCGAGCTTAAGAGGACACTTAAAGGCCAAGTGAAGCAAATTGAGCGATTTTGAGTTTTTTCACACTAACGTTTTAAAACAAACCAAAACAAAGAACCTTAACAGGTTGCGCAGAATTTCCCCAGTTTTGGTGTGGCTTGATAAAATTTTTTCGAACTGTTGCCAGGTTGCGCAATTGTAGAAAAAAGAATACTATATTAACAGCAAGATAGGCAGTCTTGGGGGAGGAAATAAGAACAGTTGGAAACCCTTATGGGTTTACCATTTTCCTTCCGAATCATATTAAATGTGGTTGCCACTTTTTCAAGAAGTCCGCATGTCGCTGTTGAGTATCTTAACTACAGCTTCCTGTGGTAACCGAGTTTTAATATCTTAGAGAAAGCCATGACCAATGTGATCTTAACTTGCTTCCATACCTGGAGTGGGTACCGATCCAAGAAAAACCTTTGTTTAGCTGCTTGTTTTTTCTATTTTTCACACGAAATCTACATCATCTTTCAAGTCCGGTTAATGTTCTTCAACCCCCTTAGCCCGCGAGGAAAAAAGAAGCCTGATGGCAGGTTATAAACCCCAGGATATTATCTACAAGTGCCTGATACCACTGCTTAGGCTCGTTAATTAACAGAGACTACAGCATACTTGTGCAGCAGCTTGTAGCATGTCGAATGGCCAACAACTTGGACGATTGACACTAAACATGATATGCACAACAGCCAAAAAATAACTGCTGGGAATAAACACACTTGATCGTGGGAAAAGATACCGTGGTCAGACCACACGCGACCGAGAAACTGATATACCTCCATGGAATCCAAATACTATTTTTCCGCGTCATAGCGAGGTCACAAGCCAGGCCTGCAGGCCAGCACTGAAGTTCATGGACAACATTCTTTTAAGAATTAAAATTCTTGCACAAAATAGAATGGAACAGCAAGCCCCCATCCCCCCGAAATCAAGGATAAAGTTGCACGAAAGCTAAAACGCGCCACTTTCTAATCTTTGATTTGGTGGGCAGGGTGGGGTCTAAATTTTCCATCTATACTGTCCAAAGTAATTATCTTGGACAGAATAAAATGGAACAGCAAGCCTCCACCCCCGCGAAATCAAGGATAATGCTACGCGAAAGCTAAAACGCGCCATTTTATAACCTTGATTTGCGAAGGAGGGCGGGTCGGAATTTTACACCCATTTTGTCCAAGAGTGTAGCCATATGATCAACTGTCCGGCAAGTACCAGGATAGGGACTCCTCGCTGGCAACGACAATCAAATAATAATTATTATTACATTTTATGACTCGTTCTCGGCGACCTCACTTTGGGATTCAGTAGTTTTAAATTCTTACAGTCAAGTCAAGGAAAACATATGAGATACCATCTACAGCGAGCCTTACTGGGAAGGCATCCAGTTGAGGCAGGCGGTGCAACAACTGCAAAGGACCGCAAACGAATATGCCGCAGGACGTAGGGTCGACAAGAATCTCGCAAAAATATGCCTGACGAGAACGTAAATCCGCAAAGCTGATAGTACTCCCTTCTGGCTACGTGAAAATTAACTTCGCAAGACAAAATGACGATACCGATAGAACCGGCCAACAGAGCGATGTTGCATTATCGGTGTCGTCGGTGTTTATCTTATGCAAAGTTTTCAGTAAGTAGTACGATCCCGAAGCTTTCATTCAGTTGTGCATCTAGAGACAAGTGGCCACTAAACAAAGGAGTACATCTTAGTGGGGTGCCCATCCCAACGAGGTTATCCCTTCAGTATTTAAGGGAGGTGCTCGTCTTAGAGGAACTTTGGTACTCAGTATTATTTCATCGTTTTTTTCTTTGTTAACTTTCATGCTTTTGCAATATTGCATAAACATATGAACGCGCACATAAACCTTCTTGTTGTTGTCATCTATGGAAGGGTATCTTTCTAACTACGCTACATAAATCTACCTAGCCCAAACATATAGATCTCCCACCTTTCTTCTAATCTGCTAATAAACCACATAACCGAAAATAGTTCATCCAGACGAGTGCAAGCGTTCAGTTAAAAATTCATCAGGATACAGTTGTTTTTAGAAAGGAAGCATAAAGGGGCAAACGTCAACAATTGACTGTCACTTAATTGTTGAAAAAGTGTCACCCAACTCTAAGCCTAAATAAGCGTTGAATTAATTTTTCTGACAGATGTTTAAAATGGACGAAAACCGAAATTAAATGAAATTAGGTCTATTGTCTGAATGAGATTAAGGCTAATGCGGGAAGCATATTTAAGCAACTATCGTATGATTATTAATGTGTACATTTGTAAATGAGAGTTGGTATTCTTTTTGTTTTGCTCAGTTTGTTATTGTTATAACATCAAACATGCTGCAGGTCACAGAAACTTTACAATATACGTGGTCAGATTTAGTCAATCAATACCTATAAAAATGTAAGGAACTCTCAGCAATATGGGCAGATAGATAGTTCTGTTTCAGTTTTGTCGAGAAGACTAACTTTTTCGCAGCTTAAACTCCTCTCCTAGGTTTTAAAACAGGCAAATGTAGCAAGGTTTTGACAACTTGGAAGGCCTTTCCCTACTCGTACACGAAAAGTGATTGCCTTTATCACGTAAATACCCGTGTGTTTACTTCAATTGGTTCCAAAAAGTTTTAAATATTTTAAATAGTAGTCATTAGGGGTTCAAACACAGACCACGTAGATGCCTAAAAAACAATTGGTTTAGATAATAATATACCGCAAAAATACAAAAAACAAGTCTAAAATTTGCGAACAATTCTCAATGCCAGTCGGAAAGGAAAAGTATATACATAAACAAATATACATTGGAAACACGTGAAAAGAAATGTTATGATCCGGAGATCGAAAGGAATTTGATGCAGGCTCTTACGGCCAATACTCCTCTAAAGTTTTAAACGCAAAACAAAGTCATGCAAAAAGTGCACACTACTTAGTTTCCCCCAAAAATTAACATTAAAGACTTTTTATAAGAACGTTTTAAAAAGTGCTAATACGTGGATAATGCATGGTTGAAAAGTCCAGCGTGAAGTTTCACTAATTAATACCTCTATAACCAAGATTTTTCCTCCAACATTTTAGATTTGGTCTATATATAACACAGTACAACTTAAAGGAATAATAAAACTTAGAATGTGTGCTTTGATCAGATTAACTCTCGGAATGTTAACACATACTTTAAAAATTAAATACCAAATCAATATCTAAACGAAAGCACGTTTTGCGTGACAACTTATTATAGTACTGTCGAAAATAGCAAAGTGCTATAGGGCACGTCCGTTGTGGTTGGCAATAAAACACAAGTCATTCCTTTTATAGATTACTTAATATAGGTGTTGCGGCTTAACTGCAGGTTGGGAGAATCACCGCAAACTCAATTAGATCCTATTAGAGAAAACCTAAAAGAGGAATAAAGTACCAATGATTTACAGACATTTTATGACTAAAATGTCGTGCTCGTGAGACTTTTCTTGTGCCAAGAAATATTGATTTCAATGCACCTGCGGGATAGCGAGAGTTGATCCAAAACAAAGTTTCGTGACTTCGACAACAAACAAGGATGTTTCAAACTGCGATCGTATATAGCTGAAATAAATATTGAGAACACTAGGATATCCGCGCAATATCAGCTTTAATTCTTGCAAACATCACGAAAGGAAAAAACCTCTCTTTTAGTTTTTTCCTGCAAACGCAAAGTTTTCAGTTTTAAAGCTAGGGCATCATATTAACGCACCAAACGATAGAAAGTCATAAAACGTTCAGACTTAAAGGCGCCCAGATTCGAAGCGAGATATTGCCAAATTTTAACGAAACTATTTGTCTGTGAAAAAAGTTTACCGCGGTTTAATAAAACTTTACAAAGCAGACATAGTCTTTGCCAAAACAGATACTCTCAATTAATTTGGATTAATGACTAAGCTAATGAGTTTAATATCAGGCGATTCAAACCTAAAACAATCGGTTCCTTTTTTAGCTCACATCAAGTAGGATCAGTTTCAGAGTAAATTTACGGCGACCGACAAAAGGTAAGTTTTGGTCTGATATTCATAATTTCCTCTTAATTCTTGTCTTTGCGAAACCGTAACTTAACTACTCTGTATGAGTTCTGATGGCCTTGTGAACGGAAAGAAATCAACAACTTTCACGCACAACTTAAATAGTTACCAAAGTTAAAAAAAAAAAAATTTTGATGTCAATCCACGTTGAAACATTGATCGAAGAAAACTCAAGAAAATAATGCCAAACAGCTTTCATCTAAAATGCTATAAAAGAATGTTCAATCACTGAATCAACCTTGTCCTCAGTGTTGTTAACCCTTTAAGCCCCAGTGTCCACATACAAATTCTCCAAACTGATCTCCATACTTTTCCTTAAAGAATGAGTTGAGAGAATTTGATAAAAGATCAAGGCATTTTCTCTTAGGTGATCATTTTATTAATTCTCATAACCTAATCTCTTGACATTGTATGGATATCGTCAGGAGAAAATTGACATTAGTCACTATCGGGACTTAAAGGGTTAAATAATAATTCCTAGTTCTCCAGAAAATTTCTCCAGAAAATTTGAGAAAATTTAAAGAGGTCATTTCTACCGACTCAACTGATAGAGGCTGAATATATGAGATGCAAAGGCGCTAGCTTTGGAGGTAGGAATGAAAGGACAAGATCGTCCCCTGTCCACTGGAGGTATCAGGGGGCCTCCCAGCGGAAAATTTTTAATCTAGGGGGGCCCGACAGAAATGCTTGTCAGTGCGACCTGGGAAAGAATTTCAGCCGTTAGGACGACACCTATCTTTTCCCACATTTGTTAAACTTTGCTAATTTTATATCACGCATTTGTTTTCATCGTCTTCAACTAAGTGTTAAGACTGAAACAAATACGACAGATTTATTGCCCTCCTTAAAAAAAAATTACTCTCTGCGAGAAGCCGGCCTCTGTAACGACTTCCGAAACTAGTGGTTGAGGACTGGTCAAAGTTAAACTGATAATATTGGTGAACGGCTTCAAAGAATAAAATTGACTGAAGTTTATTTTTAAACACAAGAGAAAAAAATACTTGTAATTTTTAAGTGCACCACAAAAGAGAGAATTAGCAAGATCAGTTGAGTCCGCAATACCAGTCAATATCAAAGTGCAATATCTTAAACAATCTTAAACATTCTAAGGACATAATCGCTTGGAAGAATTATGGGAGCTTGAGGAACGGGGTGTGAGTGGAGGGCACGAAAAGGGAGAGGACAACCTTAGAAAAGCGTCCATCTTTTCTTAGCATTTTATTATCTTTTAACTTGGGAAGAAACTCAGGCATTCGATTCTCCTTTTGTCTTAAGACAGGCACAGAGTTTGACATGCAAAATTACCTCATCCAGTAAGATTTTCAAAAAAAAAACGCAACAATTCTTTATTGTTGTATAAATTAAAATAAGACCCCTGATAAACTTATTTACTTGTAAAAATTTGTATCTAAGATTAGAAAAATACCCTATATTTAGATTTTCACCGCGGCTACTCCGCGTTTAATACAAAAAAATTCTTTCAATCTTTGTCCTGTGTTGGCATTAAAACCTCACAACGAAAGCGTTGACATATATCGTGAAACTCCTTGTCTTTGCATAAAAATAAATTAATATGAAAATTATTATTATAAAACAGATTAAATATACTTATGAGTTGTATTAGTTTTTGTGACTTATTCATGCGTATTTTCACGAGATACTTGACAAACACTTCAAGACAGTACATACCACCTACTGTATAACCATGTTATTTACTCAAGGCATTATATGCCGCTCTCAACCATATCGCTGCTGCAAGAGCCCCAGGATCCGGGCATTTCAAATGCTCCTCACTAACATAGCTTGAACGACCTGCTCGGGCTGGCATGGTGGCGGTCGACTGGGCTCCAAGTTCAGCGGCCTGGAATATTAAGCGTGGATTACAAGATCAGTTGTGAGTTTTTTAAAACACTCTGAGCCAAAACTGCCCCCAGTGCTTAGACGATAAGACATCCAATCGGCATTCTGGGAATCTTGCCGGGGACTAAAAATGTTTCCTCCCACCACGCTCGTAGTGTTAGGAACACTTTTCTCAATTTGGTTTTCGTTAGCAGAAATTAACACAGAAGTAAGGTTTTCATGACAGTCTGGCTGTCATTTGTCATTGCATTCAGGGCAGGGATACAATTTAAGGAAGGGGGCGGGTTTCCAGGTCATGTCAAACACTGTTTCTAAGGCTTCAGTTAAAAAGTGAGCAAGGTTTTAAGGTGGCTCGACCCGGTTTTTTTGTGACAAGACCGTCTCTCTTGGAACACAAAATGCAAAGATGCCTCAAACAAAGCAGGAAAGCGACTTGCAATAGGGTGTAGATTAAAGTTTCAAAAGATGTCGGGCTCTTTTTCGAGATCGACGTATCCATGGCAACACGGTAGTCATTACCATTTTTACGTTCCTTCATTTTGTAGGAAATCTAGAAATTCGTTTTCGAAGCTGCTTATAGAGTTTGCTTCGTACCTTTTTTAATCAATTTTAATGGAAGCGTTTTCTCAACAAACACACGTTTACCCTGTCCCTAGGAAGTAACCTTTGGCCTCATATTGTTTTTAGAGTTTTCAGTTGTCCTTGAAAGAAAGAAATCGCGTCACTCGGTTTCTAAGAGACTAGAGAGTAGGTGTTGTCACTGAAAAAAAGGGTCGAGCCACCTTGAGGAAAGCTTGGCTGACTTGTGGCGCCTTATTCTGGTGAAGGTGGGAGAAGGGGCTTTGGATATCCGCGTACCTACTTACAACCTCCCCTTCTTACCCTACACACCTCTTCTTCAATCAAATCAACAAATTTGAGATCCGGCCCTCAAAAAGCTTCTTTTCTTTTCCCCAAGCTTCTTTGCGTATTTATGAATTTCATAACATCTACATGTGCTTTTTTCCTTAACGCAGTTATCAAACAACTAAGAGTAAAAGCAACCACGCCGCCAAGAAATAAAAGCTCGCGAATCTGTTTGTGAGTACCACTGTACCCTGGTAAGCCCCCGGCGAGCAGGGCTATGAACTGGGTGAGTGACCAGCCGTGAATATACTGTCTCGAAGACTCCTATTTGTATCTTTCTTTTCTTTTTCTTTTTCCTTGTTTTATTGACCTCTTTTATTCTTAAATGAGTATAGCAAAACATAATCAGCATTATTTCGGCTGCCGAATGGAAAACAAAGGGGTAAGTTCGCAGGCAAACGCAACAGGCACAACGAACTGAAACCAGTCTTTAATCCATCGGCGAGAGAAAGCGCCAAATTCATTGTGGGTTTGCCTCAGTTGAAAGACAGATATTTCAGGGACATAAGAAACGTTTTGACGGTAACAAGCCGAGTTGAAACGCATTTCCGACACACGCAACCGACAGAGGCAAACTTGTCTGCGAAGTGAAACAAAATACATATGTTTTTTACCTCCATTTTCGCTCTTATTTTGAAACTAATGGTCCAAATCACTTCCATTTTCTCTCTAAAAATAATTCAGCCGTGGAGATCTAATGGCAAAAGCCTTTCTTGATCGCTAAAATGGTCGCAAAAAAAACCGGCCCAAGGTTGTTTGGGGGTGGTTTTGATGCTAGGTAACTGCGGACCAACCCAGTTATAAGTTACTACCAAAATAGACGTCTCACGTCTACGGTTATGGGTTCTTGACGTCTAGCAGTTTTTTTTTTCTTTCAAAACTATCTCCAAAGTAGCCAATGTAAAAACTAAGATTGCAAACACTGCCTTTTTCTTTACGCCTCCTATTTCATCCTCTCTTTCTCTCTCTCTCCCTGTACTTCTCATTATCCTTTCCTTGTGTGATTTTCAGGCTTATCGGATACAAGAATGGTGCCTGTTTGGCCACTTTTCAGTCAAATGGCTGTAATTCTCGGTAGGTACGTTTTCAACAATTCGGCCAGATAGATAGTTATATACGAAAACATGTGGCCAAACCGAGGTCACACCCCGCTCTGAGGTCCAACTTCGAGCCACGAGCAACGGCGAATTCCGACTAAATTAAACATTTCGCGCAGGGCACGACGGCGTTTTCTAGAGACAGTACACATACCTCAACCGCTTTTCTCATCGCTTCTACAGGATCCACGCCTGAAGCAAGTTCGACGGTTAGAGTTGATCCTGCGGGGTACAAAGCATCAAGCTGAAAAGAAAAGAAGAAGTTTATTTTTTCAATTCTGATCGAAAGAGCGCTTTTTTTTTTCTGGGATTGACAATCTCATTTTCTTAAAGAACTTAGCTCAAATAACCACCCGAGTTAACGAACAGCGCTAAAGGTGCATTCAATCGGCAGCAACATTAATTTGGTTTATAATAATAATATTTAATAATATTTCAAAAATACGCTTGGATGTCAAGTTTTATATAACCAAACTTAAGCTGTCTCCTGAAACAAAATAGGTAGATCACTGACATACCATTGTACGATCTCCTGGCACAGCTCCGCCATACCTAGAAAGATTCAGCTATAAATTTAATTATATTATATAATAATATTAATATTAATAAATGAATAATAATAATAATAACAACAACAACAAAAAACAATAACAGTAGGACAACTCATAAAAAATATCCACTAAACTCAATGCACAATGTGAATTTTGGTTCCCAGTTTCAATCACAAGTGTGACGACTGTAGCAACGCCCTCCAGTGCTTCCGGTGCAAAGACAAAACACACTATGTTCGAGTCGTGTCAATGTATTTAGCACCAAAGTTCTTATTGAAGACGCTATTTTTCGTCTCATACTAGAGACGGGACCGCAAATTTATGTGCACATCTAAACGATGCGAAGATCTACCCGTTTGCAGGGCAAAAGCAGTACCTTCATCTCTCATTCATTTTAAGACCCTGAGTATGGGTCTGTTCCCTGCTAGGACAGGTCTCTCACAGCAAGAGAAGAAGGAGGGGAAAGAGAGAGAGAGACCGCTGCCGGCCTCCGTTGGCGGATGCGTTTCCCATCACGCATGTTGCCTAGTTCCCGTACGGCGTCTTTCCAGGCCTTCTCGGTCAACGCATTTCAGTGACGTATCCGGGACGAACGGCCGGGAGACTCAAAAACTTTCTCGGACCACGTGACCCGAAATGCATCGGCCGCGCACAAAAATGGGGCCTAGGGAACTAGGCAATCACGCATGCACTCGCGTTTCCTTAACAACCAATAACCTTTTAGTCAAGTGCGACACAACCTACAGAACCGGTTTACGCGATAACAACTGTGGGCTCGGAAATTTCCAGCGTGCAGTCTCTACAGGGCACGCACATTCCACAGAAAACGAAACCGGTTTTGAAACCAGTAAATTTCGGCTACAAATGTGGTCGGCAGCTACATGAAAGGACACGTCGAGACCGGCGGAGGTCTCTTTCTTTCCCATCATTTTTCTTTTGTCGTGACAGAACTCAGCTAGCAGGGAAATCGGTCCAGTCCCAGTAATTGAATCCGCGATCTCTATATCTAGCTAGCTCTGCAGTCAAGCGTAGGGCTGGGCCTATATACACACGCCTCATAGCATAACAGCGCAAGGTTAACAAAATTACCGGTATGAAGGAAATATAACCGATAGATGCCACAACAGAGAAAGAATGAGGGAAGTTCCTCTGCCCTTTTGCCAGTTTTCATACCTCATCATAGCCTGAACACCAACATTCAAAGCTTGAGCCCAGGCCTGCGGAGTTGATTTGTTCCTGAGGGGTAATGCACCTGATATGAGAGCGAGGCTGTACAACTGCGGAGACATAAACAAATTAAATGCAGAATAACTGAGGGCAGTCAAAGGGACGCACTATGTCTCTAAATAACTGTTCTCAAGTAATGGATGTATTAGTACTCAACTGTTTACTATTATGGTGAACTCGCAGAACTTAACTGAAGACTGAGGTTCCTGATTGGTTGCCATTGTGATAAACGCACTTGGAATGTTAAAAGAAACAAAGATAAGGCTCGTGTTGATCCAACCACTCAAGTGAGTTTATTACGCTGTTCAACCTATGATTTCAATAAGACTTTCCCCGTCATTTTTTTCCTGGATCGTTGGACCATTTAAAAGGACTTTTCACACCTGTTTGGCGCCAAATTCACTGCGTTGACCTCAAGACACTCGACCAATGGGATATATTTAACATGACATAACCTGAGAAGCTCTAGGAAGTCGCCGTATTTGTTGTTGTTGTTGTTGACAACAACACGTGTCTGATAATTAGAGCAACTCCAGTATATGTCAATCATTTTACTTGTGTGAATTCAGGGTGCAAAGAAAGTCAGTTTTAAGGCTCGCCATTCGGACAAGTTGTTGCTAGTATACACTTGCCCAAGAGTCTTTTAAAAAGCCCCCAAAAAATTTTGATGAGCAGCATTGATTACAGTTCTTCTATAATTTGAATTTCCCAAAAAACTTCACTTGCTCGAACAGGATTCACTAGCCCGATTGCAAAATCCACTAGCCCCGGGCTATCGGACACGACTTTTTTGCACGCTGGAATTTATAATATGATTCAAATCCACTCAGGCGAAACAAGGAGACAAGTCGATCTCGCGACGACGCTCCAATATTGTCAACCAGCAAGAGAGGATAATGGGACAGAGAGGGAATCTTAGGGCGTTGGCCGGGATATGTGAATTTCACTTAAGTTATTATTAGAAGTTGTAATTAAACGGAAGTCTAATTCCTGAGACGTCCGCACATTTAAATCAAGTCCAGAAATCAAGTCCTCGATGCTAAACAATGCAATGGCGTCTGTTGAATTCTCTCTTGACAACGCTGAATAAAAGTTCGAGGAACTGTCCGGAAACCAATTTCCGATTATTTTTAGCGTTAAATTGGTCTAAAAATAACTTTGCTTAATTCACATATCCCAAGGATTGGATTGGGCGTCTCCCCCCTCTATTCCACTATTCTCTATTGCAACGAGTGACAGTACCCCGTGTTGGTAGGAATAACTCAACAATAGAGAGCTTTAGATTCTGAGACGAGGACGACTACAAGTACAAGATTTTCTCAATACTGAGTATCGCTCACGCGGCAACCGACGTCATTTTGGCGGGAAAACGTGATAGCCGTCGTCATTCTACGAGGGGTTTTATCGAGAATGTCGTAGAGGCCGGAACAAGTTATCAAATATATGAAGTTTTATCATTTCGCTATCGGGTAAGGGCTTAACCTCCTTCAGTATTAATAACCGTACGAACTTTTTTGGTGAACAAAGTACAATGAAGCTTTCCGGGGTGGCTTTTTTTGAGAACAAGCGCAAAAACATAAAGTTAAATCTCGTACTCGTACTAGTTCTCGTCCTCAAATCTAGAGCACTCTAATATTGACTCACCACCCCCGAGCTTCCACCCATGTACTCTTCGCATAAATCGCCCAGCGATAACAATAACTCTTCAGGATTGTTACACGGTAAACCTGGCGTGTCGTGAGATCCCAAGGCTTGCTTGAAAGCTGCAAATAAGGCATTACAATAACTCAGGTTCTAAGTAAGGCGCCGTCCACACCGGTCCGGATGCTTTTGAAGCTGCACGCTCTTATCCACATGAAACCTGTGAATCCGCACACCGAAACCGCATATTTTTGAAACAGGTCTCCAGAATGGATTTTTTTTAATCCGACGGTTTGGTGAATTCGCGTGGACGACTGAAACCGGACATTTTTTAAGTCAACTACATCATATACTCAGGTCCAGTCTTAAATGAAAACTTTCAAGTTCAAAATCGCGGACAACAAAGTTCTGTTTGCAACTTTGCTGGCTCTCGTCACCAGTCTTATTGCATGAGTTGAAGTTAATTTCTTCAAAGACGATTTTTGGGTTCAAGTGCATGGTGCGACAACGTACAGGCAGGTCTGGCCATTGCGCACGATATGGCTACAACCAACATTTAAAAATACCGCCAAATCACATCACGGGATCTGTTTGCGCATGCCCTTTAGCTAGTAATTAGCAATGTAAATCGCAATAGCGTATTCGTATAGATGGGTGAATTTAAAGCGGATCACACCACACCGACTTGGTGTTGACACAAATATCAAGTGTGCAGTCTCAGGGTATCAGGATTCGTGTGCACGTGGCCTAATACTCAACCGATTGAGTCCAATGTAACACAGTGTACAACAATGGGGATATGCTTTCCGTTACTAATACTGATTAGTAGGACAGATTATCACTTTAGCGGAAAAGGTAAATAATACAAAACTATCGAGAAACATTGTCGGAAAAAATCTGCACGCGACAATCCCAAAACGTAATATGGGATATGATCAATACACTGTTTCTGACAAAGTAGCTGTCGAATCTACTTTTGCTGCTTTCCTTAAGCACTCGCAAACATACGTCCATAGCCTCTCGTGTCATTCTTTCAAACTTCTTTGAAAAGCAGTGAACTCATAACAACCCACAATACCTTTCGGGATACTCGCGTGCACTTTTTCCCACAACCTTTCCTTAAATAGCTGTATATGCAGCGTTATGCTCCGACCCCGCTCTAGCATGCGTAAGCAGACGCTTTGTCCGGCTCTTGTTTCACCTGCCAAAAAACAAGGCTACGGCCGGCGAAAAAGTAGTCTGCTACACAGCCGTTTTCAGTGTCGCCACGCAACGTTCCCACACTAAAAACGGCTGTGTAGCAGACTAGCGAAAAAGCCGCATCGCAAGTTGGGTGGTGACGCCACCGGAAGTGATTTTCACCTCATGTCGCCGTAGTAACACCTCTCCATAGCGAAATCTTAAATTCCTTATTGTCTGGTCCCTGAACCACGTCTTTTCAGGCCTTCTCAGTCAATGCATTTCGGTGACGTTTCCGAGACGAAAACAGGGACCTTAAGATCCGACGACGGCGACGGCAACGGGAACTTCAAAAAAACAATAGGTTGAGATTAGCAAAACAACAACTTTTCACGTACATCACGCTTTTTTGTACATTTCTTTGCCGTCACTGCACGACTACGACGAGAAAATGCCTAATTTCACGTTTTATGGAGGACGTAAACAAGCTACTTGAAATTTTCTTTCTCATTCTGAACTCGGATATGGTTTTTCAGGAATTCAACTCCAGGAGAGTTCGCCTACATTTGAAAAAGTAAGTGAGTTAGAACTGTCGCGATGAAGGTTGAATGAACGCGAATTCACTTTTTAAGCGATGTTTTCGCTGCCGTCGCCGTTCTCGGATCTTAAGGTCCCTAACAACTCGCTCGGAACAGGCAAGAAGTCCGTCCATAAGAAAACGTTAAGCCGGCGTTTAAAAAAGAAATCCACTCTGGGGACCGTCTTTATGGTGCCCGAAAATGTCGTTTACGTTCAATTCTAGCAGTTCAATTCTCGCCTATTAATTACATATAACTATTGGCAACACGAAATCGTAAGAGTCACTATCACATTGATATCAATGCGAATACACCACCTAGTGACAATAAACCTCCCCTTGCATTATGCAGGATGTTTGTCACAAGAATCTAACCTGAGAAAGCCGATATTTAGCGACGCCACCACTGGTTTCTCCCCGAAATACAGTCTGAGGAACTAGCGCAGAGATTCCATACTGATGACGCGTCACTACCCAGATCTAAGTAGTGCTTTTGATTGGTCGTATCGCGAGGAAGATTTACTTCAACCAATCAGAAGCAAATCTGGGCAGTACTTCATCATCAGTATGGAATTTCTGAGCTCATTCCTCAAACGTCATTTTGCGTGGAAACCAATGGCGGCGTCGCAAAATGTCCGCTGTTTTCTCAGGCTAACATGAATCTAGTTTTATGGCCTTAGGACGCTTTCCATTTGTCAGAACTGGTCGGCCGTACCATTGCCGGACCAGTCAATATGCAAATGAAATCCGCTTTTTCCGAAGGATTTTCGCTGAAAAACCATCTCCTCCGTGCATACTATTTAGGATTTGACTGATCTGGCTAGGTAGTTTTGATTACATGTAATAGTGAAATTCTCATTACGACAGGAATGGTCTGGCCGGTCAGTTCAGACAAATGGAAAGAGTCCGTGGTTCCAACTAGTGTCCTGTAGCTCAGTGGTAAAGCATATGTTCTAGTACCCAGAAGGTCAAAGGTTCAACTCCTGTAGCGAGAACAACCGACTGTGCATGTCAGTGAATTTAAAAAAATATTATTTCTCTAGTTGCAGTACATTTGCACACCTGTTGCTCCACATGAAAATGTGCTGCCACAGTCTCCATCACCAGTTTGATTATCCAGCTCATTTAGCTTAACTTTGCTATCCAAGAGTGCATCACTAACATGGCAGATGACTGAATAAGCCTTTTCACCTGCAATAAACACAAAACGAATCAAGTTATCACAAATGTGTTATATGGAGAATATTACATGGCCGCGTGGAGATACGAAAATTCTCCTCTCGTTTTGCAAAATGTTTCACTCGTTCGCGCAGTTCTATTTATTAGATCTGATACACATCGATGAAATACCAAACCGCGTGGAGAAACGAATTTCCTTTTCTCGTATTGAAAAATATTTCACTCCTTAGCGCAGTTCTATTGATAAGATAAACATCAATGAAATACCAAACCTTTTCACTTTAATAATTTTTTGCTGTGAAAGGCGCGATTTATTGAGTAGTGATAGTAAAGGTGATCTTTTCATGTGTGAAGGTAACACGTTATTTTCACATGTGAAGATATCATGTTTTCACGCGAAAGCTCACCTGGTATTTCATTGGTGTTTATATAATAAATCATTTTCTTTGTAAGTTACAAAGAAAATGACAGACTATTACAGCGTAAGACTGTACAAGTTACCCAAGGCTGTCAGCTTCTCGGAAGAGATTGTTGGCTTTTCCTTCTCCGTGTCCTCAGGTACCTCCAGTGGTTGTTTGTCAGTTCGCATGTAGCCTAACGTTGGTGAAATAGATACACGTGGCCATGCTGGTGCATTTGTACTTTGATCTGTTAAGGGAATAATGGACCTCTTTTCATATATGTTTACGGCTGAACCTCTCTACAACGGCCACCTTGGGGATAGACGAAAGTGGCCGCTGTAGAGAGGTGGCCGTTGTGGAGAGGTGGCCGTAAGTGGAGGTGTGACTGTACTGTTAAAATAATATTCAGACGTAACTTAATACAAAATAAAGAGACTGTACAGAAAACCCATAGCTGTTCTCAAAAGAGACTGCCGTTTGTTGTCTTTTTCAGAGACCTCAGACACCTCTTAAGGTTGCTCAGGGGGTATTACCTAACCTGGATTATGCTGCCCCTGCGAATGGCTTTCCGGGGCTTGTGTCTTATAGCCTGCGTCGCTGACTTAACTTACCTCGGTAAGTAACGTCTGCGAAACACTGCTGATATCCTTGTTCTAGGCCCCCAACGGAATCAACGAATTACCGGAAGTGCATTTCGATATTCCTTTCATCCTGATTGGTAAATCCACAATGGCTTTATAAACAGGCCACTTATGGCACGGTGTACTCAAATTCTGATACAGAGGAGGGGGCCCAGAACAAGGATTTCGGCGCCGTCTCGCACATAGACTTAACTAGAGGTTCAGTTTTCATCTGTGGCGCAGGCAAGAGTCTCAAACCTAGGGTGTCTTTTAGAAGCGGAAGGTTTATATAGAGTGGGACTTGAAAGGTCTACATTTGTGCCACCAAGAATTTTTTAAACAATTTTCTAATCTGATTCCATGATGTCAGTTTAAAAAATTACTTAATTCTCTATTAATACGAAACGAAATGAATCATGGTGAAAAAATAAAATCATTTGTATTAAACAGGGTGGTAAAATACACGATTTTTGTTTTAAACCTTTAAGCCCCAAGACCCACATACAAAGTCTCCAGACTGACCTCCATACATTTCTCTTACAAATAGTTGAGAGAATTTGGTTTAAGATCAAAGTGTTTTCCCTTTGGTAATCAATTTAGTAAATCTAATAACTTTTACTCTTGATGATCTGCTGATAATGTTAGGAGAACATTGATGTTGGTCACTTTTGGGACCTAAAGGGTTAACAGGATCAGAACTGCACACCTCTACCCAAACCTCCACCCCCCAGCACCCCCCTCCCCTCCCCCCACTTGAAATGGCTATTTGTCAGTTCATAAGTAGCCTTCTGTTGGTGACACCTGCCACAGGATTTCACCATACCATACATTGAAGCCTCACCTAAGCAGTGTGTTCTTGTCTCATCAAGTTGAAGTAAAGTGATTGACACTCCAGCCATCTCTAGTGATGACATAAAACTTCCCACATAAACTCTATCAACTTTGACACCCTTTTCTTTAGCTGAACACATAAATAAAAACAAAAAAACATTAGGAATTTAAATCCTACCACATTTCCTCACTACTGTGTAATCCAAGATTGTGAAAGGAAAGAGACTTACTGAGGTAATTAATTGCTGCCCTTGTTACAATGTTGAGTTCAAGAACCGATGTTCCGCCAAGATTATTGACAACCAGTGCTACACTGTCACCTGTCAATGTGAGTGAGCCCAACACACATGTTAAGTTTTACAGACATTTGACGGTAAACCTGGCGTGTCGTGAGATCCCAAGGCTTGCTTGAAAGCTGCAAATAAGGCATTACAATAACTCAGGTTCTAAGTAAGGCGCCGTCCACACCGGTCCGGATGCTTTTGAAGCTGCACGCTCTTATTCACATGAAACCTGTGAATCCGCACACCGAAACCGCATATTTTTGAAACAGGTCTCCAGAATGGATTTTTTTTTAATCCGACGGGTTTGGTGAATTCGCGTGGACGACTGAAACCGGACATTACAACTACATCATATACTCAGGTCCAGTCTTAAATGAAAACTTTCAAGTTCAAAATGGCGGACAACAAAGTTCTGTTTGCAACTTTGCTGGCTCTCGTCACCAGTCTTATTGCATGAGTTGAAGTTAATTTCTTCAAAGACGATTTTCGGGTTCAAGTGCATGGTTCGACAACGTACAGGCAGGTCTGGCCATTGCGCACGATATGGCTACAACCAACATTTAAAAATACCGCCAAATCACATCACGGGATCGGTTTGCGCATGCCTATTAGCTAATGATTAGCAAATGTAAATCGCAGTAGCGTATTCGTATAGATGGGTGAATTTAAACCGGATCACACCACACCGACTTGGTGTTGACACAAATATCAAGTGTGCAGTTTCAGGGTATCAGGATTCGTGTGCACTTGGCCTAATACTCAACCCATTGAGTCCAATGTAACACAGTGTACAACAATACACTCTTCTCACATATGGTAATATGCCCGTCTAACCTCGTTTACGGGTAAAAATCCTTTTGAAATTCAAATACGAAAACGTCGTCTGATTAGCATTTCAAAGGACTCTTTACTCAAAAACGAGGTTAGACGGGCATATTACCATACGTGAGAAGAGCGTATGGGGATATGCTTTACGTTACTAATACTGATTAGTAGGACAGATTATCACTTCAGCGGAAAAGGTAAATAATACAAAACTATCGAGAAACATTGTCGGAAAAAATGTGCACGCGACAATCCCAAAACGTAATATGGGATATGATCAATACACTGTTTCTGACAATGTAGCTGTCGAATCTACTTTTGCTGCTTTCCTTAAGCACTCGCAAACATACGTCCATGGCCTCTCGTGTCATTCTTTCAAACTTCTTTGAAAAGCAGTGAACTCATAACAACCCATAATACCTTTCGGGATACTCGCGTGCACTTTTTCCCACAACCTTTCCTGAAATAGCTGTGTATGCAGCGTTATGCACCGACCCCGCTCTAGCATGCGTAAGCAGACGCTTTGTCCGGCTCTTGTTTCACCTGCCAAAAAACAAGGCTACGGCCGGCGAAAAAGCCGCATCGCAAGTCGGGTGGTGACGCCACCGGAAGTGATTTTCACCTCATGTCGCCGTAAGTAACACCTCTCCATAGCGAAATCTTAAAATCCCTACTATCTGGTCCCTGAACCACGTCTTTTCAGGCCTTCTCGGTCAATGCATTTCGGTGACGTATCCGAGACGAAAATAACTCGCTCGGAACAGGTGACCCGAGACCCATAGGCCGTGGAATAATGAGGCCTAGAGACTAGGCAAGAAGTCCGTATATAAAAAAAACGTTAAGCCAGCGTTTAAAAAAAAATCCACTCTGGGGACCGTGTTTATGGTGCCCGAAAATGCCGTTTACGTTCAATTCTAGCTGTTCAATTCTCGCCTATTAATTACATATAACTATTGGCAACATGAAATCGTAAGAGTCACTATCACATTGATATCAATGCGAATACACCACCTACTGACAATAAACCTCCCCTTGTATTATGCAGGATGTTTATCACAAGAATCTAACCTGAAAAAAGCCGATATTTAGCGACGCCACCACTGGTTTCTCCCCAAAATACAGTCTGAGGAACTAGCGCAGAAATTCCATACTGATGACGCGTCACTACCCAGATCTAAGTAGTGCTTTTGATTGGTCGTATCGCAAGGAAGATTTACTTCAACCAATCAGAAGCAAATCTGGGCAGTACTTCATCATCAGTATGGAATTTCTGAGCTCATTCCTCAAACGTCATTTTGCGTGGAAACCAATGGCGGCGTCGCAAAATGTCGGCTGTTTTCTCAGGCTAACATGAATCTAGTTTTATGGCCTTAGGAAGCTTTCCATTTGTCAGAACTGGTCGGCCGAACCATTGCCGGACCAGTCAATAAGCAAATGAAATCCGCTTTTTCCGACGGATTTTGGCTGAAAAACCATCTCCTCCGTGCATACTATTTAGGATTCAGCGTGCAAAGAAAGTACTGTCCGATAGCCCGGGGCTGGTGGATTTTGCTATCGGGCTAGTGAATTCTGTTTTTAACTTGCCCGACGGGCAAGTGATGTTTTATGAGGAATTTGAATAACAGAAGAACAAAAAGTTTTGGGGGCTAGTTGAAATGACGTCTGGGCTAGTAAATACTAGCTTCAGCTTGCCCGAATGGCAAGCTGTAAAAATGATTTTCTTTGCACCCTGGGATTTGACTGATCTGGCTGGGTAGTTTTGATTATATGTAATAGTGAAATTCTCATTACGACGGGAATGGTCTGGCCGGTCAGTTCAGACAAATGGAAAGAGTCCGTGGTTTCAACTAGTGTCCTGTAGCTCAGTGGTAGAGCATATGTTCTAGTACCCAGAAGGTCAAAGGTTCAACTCCTGTAGCGAGAACAACCGACTGTGCATGTAAGTGAATTAAAAAAATATATATTTCTCTAGTTGCAGTATATTTGCACACCTGTTGCTCCACATGAAAACGTGCTGCCACAGTCTCCATCACCAGTTTGATTATCCAGCTCATTTAGCTTAGCTTTGCTATCCAAGAGTGCATCACTAACATGGCAGATGACTGAATAAACCTTTTCACCTGCAATAAACACAAAACGAATCAAGTTATCACAAATGTGTTATATGGAGGATATTACACGGCCGCGTGGAGATACGAAAATTCTCCTCTCGTTTTGCAAAATGCTTCACTCGTTCGCGCAGTTCTATTTATTAGATCTGATACACATCGATGAAATACCAAACCGCGTGGAGAAACGAATTTCCTTTTCTCGTGTTGAAAAATATTTCACTCCTTAGCGCAGCTCTATTGATTAGATACACATGAATGAAATACCAAACCTTTTCACTTTAATAATTTTTTGCTGTGAAAGGCGCGATTTATTAAGTAGTCACAGCATAGGTGATCTTTTCATGTGTGAAGGTAACATGTTATTTTCACATGTGAAGATATCATGTTTTCGCGCGAAAGCTCACCTGGTATTTCATTGGTGTTTATATAATAAATCATTTTCTCTGTAAGTTACAAAGAAAATGACCGACTATTACAGCGTAAGACTGTACAAGTTACCCAAGGCTGTCAGCTTCTCGGAGGCGATTGTTTGCTTTTCCTTCTCCGTGTCCTCAGATACCTCCAGTGGTTGTTTGTCAGTTCGCATGTAGCCTAACGTTGGTGAAACAGATACACGTGGCCATGCTGGTGCATTTGTACTTTGATCTGTTAAGGGAATAATGGACCTCTTTTCATATATGTTTACGGCTGAACCTCTCTACAACGGCCACCTTGGGGATAGACGAAAGTGGCCGCCTTAGAGAGGTGGCCGTTGTGGTGAGCTATAAACAAGAGTCAATGTATGTACTGTCCAGCAAAAAAAGTGGCCATTGTGGAGAGGTGGCCGTAAGTGGAGGTGTGACTCTACTGTTAAAATAATATTCAGACGTAACTTAATACAAAATAAAGAGACTGTACAGATAACCCATAGCTGTTCTCAAAAGAGACTGCCGTTTGTTGTCTTTTTCCGAGACCTCAGACACCTCTTAAGGTTCTGAAGGTTGCCCAGGGGGTATTCCCTTACCTGGACTATGCTGCCCCTGGGAATGGCTTTCAGGGGCTTGTGTCTTACAGCCTGCATCGCAGACTTAATTTACCTCGGTAAGTAACGTCTGCAAAACCCTGCTGATATCCTTGTTCTAGGCCCCCAACGGAATCAACGAATTACCGGAACTGCATTTCGATATTCCTTTTATCCTGATTGGTAAATCCACAATGGCTTTTTAAACAGGCCACTTATGGCACGGCGTACTCAAATTCTGATACAGAGGAGGGGGCCCAGAACAAGGATTTCGGCGCTGTCTCGCAGGCGGACTTAACTAGAGGTTCAGTTTTCATCTGTGCTGCAGACAAGAGTCTCAAACCGAGTATACATTTTCACTATTAAGTGTCCTAAACAGGGTGTCTTTTAGAAGCGGAAGGTTTATATAGAGTGGGACGGTTGGCTTTGAAAGGTCTACATTTGTGCCACCAAGAATTTTTTAAACAATTTTCTAATCTGATTCCATGATGTCAGTCTAAAAAATTACTTAATTCTCTATTAATACGAAACGAAATGAATCATGGTGATAAAACAAGGTCATTTGTATTAAAGAAGACACCCCAAAGAAGACACCCCAAAGTAGTTCTTGCTGACTTAGACTTCGCAGACGACATAGCACTACTGTCGGATGAAATAGCTCAAGCTCAGGAATTACTGCTAACAGTTGAAAAAGAGTGCAAGAAAGTTGGTCTTGTACTGAATGCTAAGAAAACAAAATCAGTTGCTTATAACATTGATGATCCAACACCATTACATACATTTGATGGCACTTATCTGGACTGGAAGGATGACTTCAAATATTTAGGGTCATGGGTTGATAACTCAGAAAAAGACATCAGCATAAGGAAAGTGCAGGCTTGGAGAGCTTTGAATGGTATGACGAAAATATGGAAGTCCAATATGAGTAAAGATTTGAAAATCAGATTCTTCATAGCCACCATTGAATCAATCTTACTTTATGGGTGCGAGAGCTGGTCTCTGTCAAAAGCACAAGAAAAGTCGTTGGATGGAACATACACTAGGATGCTGCGAAAAGCTTTAAACATCCACTGGAGCAGCCACATACCAAACCAACAACTGTACGGAGATCTACCAGCAGTCAGCAACAAAATCGCCTCTCGTAGGCTACAACTTGCGGGACACTGTTATTGCCATCCAGAGCTAAGTACCCAGAAATTAGTCCTTTGGGAGCCCACACATGGCCATCGCGGGAGAGGAAGACCGAATACTACCTATGTTGACACTCTTAGGAGGGATACTGGGGCATTCGAAGTTAAGTGAGATTGCTGCACTGATGGCTGATAGGAGGCTGTGGGAAGATCTAGTGGTTGCCCGCCTTCGGGCGACCAAGTGAGTGAGTGAGTGAGTATTAAACAAGGTGGTAAAATATCCAAGATCCACATACAAAGTCTCCAGACTGATCTCCATACATTTCTTTTACAAATAGTTGAGAGAATTTGGTTTAAGATCAAAGCGTTCTCCCTTTGGTAATGAATTTAGTAATTCTCATAACTTTTACTCTTGATCGTCTGCTGATAATGTTAGGAGAACATTGATGTTGGTCACTCTTGGGACCTAAAGGGTTAAACAGGATCAGAACTGCACACCTCTACCCAAACCCCCACCCCCCAGCACCGCCCCCCCCCCCCTCCACTTGAAATGGCTATTTGTCAGTTCATAAGTAGACTTCTGTTGGTGACACCTGCCACAGGATTTCACCATACCATACATTGAAGCCTCACCTAAGCAGTGTGTTCTTGTCTCATCAAGTTGAAGTAAAGTGATTGACACTCCAGCCATCTCTAGTGATGACATAAAACTTCCCCCATAAACTCTATCAACTTTGACACCCTTTTCTTTAGCTGAACACATAAATAAAAACAAAAAAACATTAGGAATTTAAATCATACCATATTTCCTCACTACTGTGTAATCCAATATTGTGAAAGGAAAGAGACTTACTGAGGTAATTAATTGCTGCCCTTGTTACAATGTTGAGTTCAAGAACCGATGTTCCGCCAAGATTATTGACAACCAGTGCTACACTGTCACCTGTCAATGTGAGTGAGCCCAACACACATGTTAAGTTTTACAGACATTTGTCAGTTTAAAAACGAGAAGGGAGCTGGGCCGAGTTAACTTTGGCAAAGACTTCTGGGAATGTTCTGGCACTAGGAACAGGGAAAAAAATTGGCCAATAGCTGACCGGCACGTCTCCAGTAAGAGTAATGATCCCAGAAACAACCATGGGATGCATTTCGGCTCCAATATATAATTTCCTTCTCATTTCTAAAGAGGCAATTAAATGTGTTATGGTAGTTTCAAATCTACATTGGCCTCTTGAACTCCCAATTAGTATTTACAGTCAAACCAAGTCAAGCGTACCCCCCAAGATTCTATCAGTGAATTGATTATTTGAAAAATGAATCCGTTAGTTGTTCCCGTAACTGGTGTCAAATTCAAAGTGGCATTTCTGCATGCGTAATAAGCAGTGAATATTTTACGAGAACTTCTCTGTATTTGGTCAGATTGGAAATCTTTGAATGGATTAAGCTTCTTAGAAGACATTTACATCAATTTCAGGAAAATGGAGCTGGTAGAAATTTCATAACTGCCTCACATGTGAATTCACGGTTCATTACACATACAAGAATGCAGAGATCAATCTGAAATCTACAACTAGCAACGGATTCAACTTTTGAATAATAAATTCATTAATGGTTTCTTGGGGGGTACGCTTGACCTGGTTTGACTGTAATCTAGGAGAGGGTTGAGTGCCTTTATTTTGGTTCAAAGGTGATTGCTGACCAAGAGGACTTGGATGTCTCCTTTTACAGGTTGGCATCCCTGGTTTGTGTTCTACAGATCCTGAAAAATTTTTTTAGGAGAAACAAAGTAGGAGACAGAGTTTCTTATTACATGTGCACCTTAGTTTATGAATTCCTCTGTAAGACAAAAATAAATAAATACCAGTATATTGATTACAAATAAAAGTACATATACAAGAGTTTCAGCAAGTCTGTTTGGAAGTAAAGAGGAGAAGATGCAAGTGGACAAGAAACGTTTGGCAAATGTAACCGAGTAAAGGACAAGAGAAGGCATTTCCCCTTCCAAATGGTAGGAGAAACACAGGCAAGCCCAAACAAAAAAGGAGGCCTTTCCAGAGAGGGTGCCCATGTCAATCCCTTGGATTTTTACAACTTTTCTTTAAAAAGATTTTTTTTCAATTCGTTGCTTTTGGAAGGTAATAGTAATAGAAAAAGAATGTCTTCTGTCACAATTTCTCTATATGTACTACTTGCAGCTGTTTAGGCCTTATTGCAAGTCAGAATTAATCCTCAGGATTTCGCAGGGTCTCAACTGGTGCAGAATGACAAAGAGAAGATCTTAGGTAGGAGTTAAGAGGGAGCCTGCCAGCTAGCCATCAACATCATAAAGAGTGAAAAATTGCATCAAAGCCCTCTGAGCAGTCTTGTGATCTTGGAGTGAAGATTATGTTGAGGAAAGATCTGCAGTTTTCTAAAATTTTCACAACAATATAAAAATTAATGTTAATGTTGTAGTTGATTTTTCATCTCAGGTAATTTTTATTAATTTTCCTTTGTTTCAACTTCATTAGCATACATTGCCATACCCAAAAACAGAAGAAAAACAAAAATTACCTGAGATAAAAAATTATCTGCAAAATTGATGTCAAATTGACCAAAGAGAAACAGTAATAATAAGATTGAAAATCTCGCTCAGAGTAAAATGAAAATAAAACAAGACAGTGAACTCCTGACCTTGTTGAAGGCTCAGTTTATATGTTGCACCACTTTGAATGTCTGTCATGTGATCAATCATTGTTTTCACAACAACATCAGCTTTCTCAACCTAAAATATTAGACGATAAATCAACAATTGATAAACACAATGTGCCTTTTAAACTAATAAAGTCAAACCTACATTTAGGGACCACCCTCTGTTTCGTAGCCTGCAGTAACCAAATGGTTACTGGTTACACCTGGGACTCTCAAATGAGAGTCCCAGGTGACAAAATTGACAGTAAATCACTACCAACAGAACCTCTGTTATAAAGCAGCCAGGCATGTCACTACTCCTGAGGGTACATGTGGTCGTTTCACAGAGTTCAGTCATGGTAAAATTACACGCAAATGTGACAGAATAACAGAAGCTCATTATTTTTGCATTCTTCACCTTGACTCTCTTCACACCAGGTTCTCCATGTATTCCTACAAAAAAAGTAGTCATCATCATCATCATCATCACTTTATTTGATACTATAAGGCAGCTTGAAAGCTGATGTGTACAGCAATACACACACATAGATGCATACTTCACAACACCACTGGGGTCTATAATCCCTAGTCTTTATCAACCGTGGTGCAGACGTGGGTTCTTTTATATTACAATAGAATCAGTGAAAGAGCTGTAAGACCAGCATCTGTGTTACACCTTCATTAAAGAAGACCAGAATGTCTAACCACTGAGGATGTCAGAAGAAATTGAGGCAGCCCATTCTCCTCAGTTGGTTGTTGCGTGGTCAGCAGGAAATTCTCATTTTGAGGGTTTTTTTGTTCAGGTAAAATAATAATATTATAGCAAAATAATGTGTAGATGAAAAGCTGCAAAGTCCTCACCCAGGCCTAGTTCCATTTCATCACTGCCTAAATGAAAGGATGGTCCAAATCCTGGTAAGCTGCAAGGAGCCAAGCTGACGCCAATAGTTCCTAGTAATGGCGAAAGGAAAAAAAAGTAATAATAATCTTGGGTCAACATNTCATCATCATCATCATCACTTTATTTGATACTATAAGGCAGCTTGAAAGCTGATGTGTACAGCAATACACACACATAGATGCATACTTCACAACACCACTGGGGTCTATAATCCCTAGTCTTTATCAACCGTGGTGCAGACGTGGGTTCTTTTATATTACAATAGAATCAGTGAAAGAGCTGTAAGACCAGCATCTGTGTTACACCTTCATTAAAGAAGACCAGAATGTCTAACCACTGAGGATGTCAGAAGAAATTGAGGCAGCCCATTCTCCTCAGTTGGTTGTTGCGTGGTCAGCAGGAAATTCTCATTTTGAGGGTTTTTTTGTTCAGGTAAAATAATAATATTATAGCAAAATAATGTGTAGATGAAAAGCTGCAAAGTCCTCACCCAGGCCTAGTTCCATTTCATCACTGCCTAAATGAAAGGATGGTCCAAATCCTGGTAAGCTGCAAGGAGCCAAGCTGACGCCAATAGTTCCTAGTAATGGCGAAAGGAAAAAAAAGTAATAATAATCTTGGGTCAACATTAATGTCAACTTTATTGCTTCCAGTAATACAGTAACACTTAGGGTAAATCAAGTCATATCTGTGCTATATATTTACCAATGAAATTAAACTTAAATGGTATAGATTTGCATTTTACATACCCATAGCATTAGCAGCTGCTTTTGCTACCTGAGTTATTTCCTCTAGGGATTTCCCCTCCTCTGCCAAAGCGCCTGCAATCTGCAAGAGTGTAGGTTACCATTCAGCAGGACTTTGACTTAACAGTATTCTGAACTCTCATCCATGGCAATTCACAACTTAACAAATACCCAACACATAATGGCTGGATGTATAATTTATCATATTTGGCAAAGGCCATTTCCAGGCATAACTACTACTATAGAGGTTGAAAAGAGTGCTGTCCAGTAGCTGTGGCACTACCATATTTTCCTACCAGGCTAGTACCTTTTCACACACACTTGCTTTATGGTTAAGAATCAAGCAAACAATCTTCCATGTACAACTAAACCATTAAAGAAGGCATGCATTCAATTAACTCAGGCAAGCAAAATATGGGAATGGTTTGTCCAACAAGCTGGAATTCACATTTTTTGAAATCCCTGCTATATGCAGCTACTATAGAAATATGTAATGGGCTTGTTTATCATTTTCTGATGTTAGTTGCATAAAGTTATTAATTGGGATGTTAGTGGGCAATACTCTATGAGTTTGCCATCCTATTCAGTTAAAGGGAGGGCGGGTGAGGGTGACAGGATTAGAGCCTCTCACCTCCCGTACCATGCCCTTCAGTGTTACATACCTTTGTCTCTCACTAACTGCCATTCTTCTTGTTTTTTGTTTTTCTTTCTTGTTTGTTTTTTAATGAACGAACTTCTCCTCTCCTATCTCCTGTATCCTTTCGCCCAATTGGCCAGAGCAGAAAATACCATAATATTCTTTAGACTGCCATTTGGGTGGTTCTTCATGAAAACTTTATTTCTGCAGTTTTTTTTGTTTCTTTGTTTTGCACGAATTGTATGTGTGCAGTGTATGCAAAATTATGAGGAGCTGATGCATTGCACATTGAAATCATGCAGAGACCAAGAGATATTTCAGAAGTCAGGTTCACTTGAAGCACCACCCAAACAGAAATTTGAAGAATAGTATGGTATTTTCTGCTTTGCCCAATCACCTCAGCTCCTGTCCCTCGGTCCCCTCCAGTAGTCAAATTTGGTAATTTGGTAATTATTTCAGCAAGAAAATAAATCATCCTGAAACATTTTGTCAGATGTAGTCAAATGATACTTTCAGGCAAATAAAACTGTAGACTGAGCTATGATTTTCCCAAGTCTAATCTTGTGACTAAAGCGGCACGCGCCAGTACCCACCCCGCCCCACTCGCTCCCCCGGCCTCAGTTGGGATTACACAATACCTTGTGAATTAGCACGGTTCCACAAAGACCCCTTCTTCCTGCCGTTTTATCCTTGCTGGTAAGCGCACAGTCTTCTCCGACCACTACCATTTCAACCTTCATTCCCTCTGCTTTCGCCCTCTCCGCAGCAAAACCGAAACTTAATCGGTCTCCAGTGTAATTCTTCACAATCAAAACCGTTCCACCTTTGTTCCCTTTGCCTACGGCTCTAATGGCAGCAAGTATCGATTTCGTTGGAGGAGAAGTGAATACGGCGCCAGCGACTGCAGCTGTAAGCATTCCTTTTCCAATAAACCCAGCGTGCGAAGGCTCATGGCCGCTGCCACCTCCAGAAATGAGCGCCACTTTACCGGACCTTCGAAGCTCGTCAACATCTTCTCGAACGATAACGCGGTGATTCTTAAGAAGTTTAAGGCCGGGGTTTGCCAACACAATCCCTTCTAAAGCTTCATCTACTGTATGCAGAGGATTATTTATCAGTTTCTTGGACGTTGCCGAATTTTTTTCATCTGCCATGTTTCACGTGCCGGTGAGTGGACGAGGTCGGGTTTCGCTGCGCGAACTGCGCGATACAGTCCATTTCCCTAGGGGTAGGTACACGGGCCAACCATGAAAATGTCCCGCGCGGGAAAAACAATTGGTTTCTCAGCCCTTGAGTAAAGGGAAATTCATATACAAATTCGAAGTTAAGGGGTGGGGAAATTGGAAAATTTTGAGAAATCGCCCGAAGGCAACCACGGGATCGTCACGGGGACAGGCCGCCCATATTATGGGCTCCTGACAGGGACTAGCCAGCGACCAGTGCTTTCGTTTTCTAAAGCCTGAGTGACAAGAGCGAAAAGGGGAAGGGCGGCGGAGGGGGAGAGGGAGAAAAGAGTAATCCCCCTCCCTTGTGCCCTTCCTCCCAATTCCCTAACCGTTTCGACGCCTGCTACGCAGGCTACAATCTTGGACAAAATATGGAAAACCTAGACCCCCCCCCCCCCCCCCCCCCCCCCCCCCCCCAACCCCCCCGACCCCCCTCCACCCAATGGAGCGTTTTTGCCCTTCGCGCGGCTTCATCCTTGATTTGGGGGGATGGGGGTTGGCTATTCCATTTTACTCTGACCAAGATTGTAGCTTTCTCTCCAACTCATATATGACCTTAGGGGCCCAGAGCTGTGCGGTACGAAGTTGGGAGGACGCTTGCATCCGCTCTGCTTGCAATAAATGGTCACCAACTCGGGCTTTAATCCGGGGTGAACTTTCACAAGTCCTTCCAGAGCCTTATCTACATTCAACGGTTCATTTAAAATACTTTTTTGACGCTTTTGCTATACCTCACTCGGCAGCCAATTCTGGGACTGCGGGAAAATGGAACAAATTTATCAAATCTGAGATACCTAATAGAGAGGTAGGGAGGGGAGGGTCATTTCCTTTGATGCTGCTCTCTAGTTATCAAGAGCAAACTGAAGAGCCATCTTGTAGTTATTCATTCATTTATTTACTTTTTTAGCGAAGCCATGATTCTGAGTTCTTGTTTGAGTAGGGGAATTAGAAACGAACTGCATCACCATTAGAAGCTAGCAAGAGGGAAATATGTCCCATTATTCTCTGTTGGGACTAAACTGCATGGTTTCATCACTTTTACGCTAAACCGTGAGTTTATTAGTAGAACCAAGAGAGGTAGAATAAATCTTCTTCATTGACATTGTTTTACTGTTTTGAGTGCGTAGCTGGCGGGACTTTTATACGCGGGGTACTTTCTTGGTGGTAGACCCGTGAGCGGAAATCATCTTACCGAACTCAATTTCACTTTTTCCTAATCTTTAGTGATCTTGTCAACGGCCAACGCACTCCCGCCCGCCTACGCAGGCCCAGAATGGGGTACTCAGCTATAATGGTCTATACGGAGAGGCTCCGCCCGAAAGGGGTACCTTTTTAAGGCTTCAGGTACATGAAAGGGTAGGAATTTCACTTGTTGAAGTACGGCTGAAGTATGTGAAAGGTAGCAGAATCTGTCATTACGGTCTGCATGAAAGGCCTGAAAGGTAAAGGGCCAACGAGGCTAATCGGCTCCTGGGCCAACAGATGAATTTTGAGGCTATGAAAAAGTCGAGAAAACGTTCTGGTTTTGTGATTTCAGCAGTTAAAAGGGCTCTTTTGTCAAAATATATAAAATATCAGCAAGTCCACAGCAACAAACCAATGAGTGGTGCCGGATGTCCCAGTTGTAGATCTGGATCAGTACAATTAAACTTGTAGAAAAATATGAAACGGCAAACTGATCCTTACGCAAGGCGATGAAGAAGTTAGCCTGTGAACAGGTTCTCTGTTTGGGAAAAAAAAAGCGGGGATAGGGAAGGGAAAAGGGGGAGAGGCATTTTCGCTTTTCCCTCTCCCCAGTTCCCCGCTCGACCAAAGGCCTGTTCACAGGCTATGAAGAAGTAAACAAAAGAATAAAACAAAAAATTTATATTTAACAAATTGCCCAATATTTCGGTTTGAAAACAAACATTTTTCAGGGGCTAAAAGAAGAAGGAAAATAAAACTAAAAGTTCAAACTGAGTTGTTTAAATATATATTTTTTGATTTATTCTTGTGTTTACTTCTTCATCGCCTTGCCGTAAGGATCAGTTTGCCGTATGGTATGTCTCTTTTGTCTCCTGATTAAACATGTTAAATATTAACGAGGGATGCGCCTGGAAGATGCGCGCGGGCGGAAATGGGAAGGAGCGAAAAGAGGAGACTCTGGACGCGATCCATTCAACCAAAATTTCCGGAAATTTCGGTCCAAAACTCAGTGGATCGGTTCGGTCCAACCGGAAAAGTTTCGAAAAAATGGGTCCACCATTTGGGGTAGACCACTTTTCCCTTTTCGTACCGGTTGGAATTTTGGTTGAATGGATCGCGCCCTCTCTCTCTCTCTAGGAGTTCCTTTTCCCTCTTCTTTCCTATCGTCCCCTTCGCCGAAATTCCTTAATAGTCCCCCGCGACCGCTCCATGACCGCCTCAAATGATAAGAGACGACTGGGGACGAGTCAAGTGTGTAAAAGGGGTATTTTTTCTCTCAAAAGTGGCATACTTAAGAACCTTAAGGGTGAGGGGTTGGACCTCGGGACAGAGCCTACCCGTATAAAACTTTGTTGAGTACCCCCCGGACATGCAGGTTATATTTTGAACAAAAATGCTTCAGTGTTAAACGACAACTTCGAGGTAAGCAGCCTTGGCTTGAAGGTATCAGCGAGCTGACATGATTATCCTACCGCAAATTGAGGCAACTGAATGAACGAATAAAAAAAAGGAAGAAAAGAAAAGAAAGTTGTAGGAGATGTCCACGTAACTAAAGGTACTCATGTCTTTTGATGGTTGCATATCCTTTGTGACGAGATCAGAGTTTTTTCAGTAAAAGCTAATCGATAAAACTTTGTATAAACAGGATTTTTGGATAAAGCAAAACGTGGTTTGCTCCGCTACCCGGCATATCAAACGTGGCCGACTTTGTATAAACAGGATTTTTTGATAAAACAAAACGTTGTTTGCCCCGCTGCCCGGCATATCAAACGTGGCTACAAAAATCAGATACATTTTTTTTCCTCTTCACCCTCTTAATTATATGATGCCTCAAAGACGTAGATAATTTTTTTTATTTTTAGAATTTGAGTATTATGTTTACTTTGATCTACTTGTTTTTAAAAATTTATTTAATTTATTTTTCCTTCCGAATCACGTTACCAAGAAAATTGCACCGCTTAGGCCTTCACCAGCTCGTCCGTAGGACATTTACACCTAGATGCTTTTAAACTCTTTAAAGACTCTGGTCAGACTAAACAACGGGATAATACAAGAATTCGTTAAATTAACAGTTTCTAAAGAAAAATCCATTTCCTTGCCACAAAAGTGACCTCGGTGTTCATCAGAAATATTTTTTTTCTCAGTCTCCGGTCGGACGATCAATTCTTTTTCAAGGGCAGGGGCCATTATTAGATGTAAACGCAGGCTGAGCAAGTATAAAAAGACCAAATCAAACTAGGCATTGAAATAAATCAGGTGTATTTCGCTAGCCGCAAAATAACTCTCACATTTACCGGCCGGCTCTGCAAATAACTGATAACAGCAAGTTCACGTGAATGCATGCGAATAAAAACAGACGTTTTCCGCAGTATTTGCTTTTGTTTGACAAGTCGGGTAACTTGTCAAAAAATGCTGTTAGAATGGTATACTTACTTATTTCTGCGGCATCAAAAAGGAAATTACTTGTTATTCTAAACTGAAAAGTACGCAAAACAATTCCCTTTGGAAATAATTTAAAATTTTACTTGGAAATATCAAACTGGGGGCATATTTCGTCCTCGTTAATTTTAGAAAACCAAAGTGCTGTTCTTCCATTTACCTTCCGTAAAATACAATTTTTCGAAGCTCATACACGCATATAACGTAATCATTTTGCTAAAGTAGATTTAATTGAAGCATAAGTTCTGTATTTGATAAAAGTCAGTACATTCATTTTGTAAATAACACATGAATAATGAGAAATGCTTTGTTATTGTATTGTTTGACTCGTTTTTAGATAATGTTACCAATGAAACTGTGACGCTTTTGATTTGGAATTAACATCTGAAAGGAAACGAGCTATTCTTACAGGAAATGAGAAACAAACTAAAAAAAAAGTTGATCATGACCGCTCCACTCAATCTTTGCTCCACTCATTTGAAGACACCGAAATTTAAACCAAGAGTTACGTTACGGAAGTGCTCTCAAATTAGGCCTCTTTTAATGATATAACCCGAATATATTGCCCCACTCGACTCGTATTCAGTATGCAAAGGATGGATTGAGAGTATAGGATAAATTCGTCACAAGCCAACGATTTCGGCTTTATTTAGAAAAAGACTAATTATTACATTGTCAGCTCCGGATGTTTGTGGGTGTCGATGTATTCGATCGATTCCCGACCCATCAAATCATCTTTCAGCTTCTGCGATTTTTCATGCAACTGGATTTTCAGTTTTGATTTCACGGGCAGAATTCAGCCAGCAGTCCGCCGGTTTTCTACGATCTACAAGGTCTGGGTGGCTTTGGCCCACGCATTATTGACGTTTGTGGCTTTTAGTTTTTGGCAATGGCAAACAAATCTTCGTCAAGGTTTCAAGCAAATCTTTCCTACACCGACGCAGTAGCATCGCTTACAGATGGGTCACTACTTTCTGTCATCTCTTTGGGCTGCGTTATGGCATTCGCGACTTTCGGTAACATTTTGGTTCTGCTTGCCGTGTACCGCACGAAACGTTTGCGAACAACAGCTGCCATTCTGGTGGTAAACTTGGCAATCGTAGACCTTTCAATCACAATCACAGTGGTGCCGTTTGTGATGGCCACAGCTGTAACTCAACAGTGGATATTACCTTGGGCGATCTGTAAGCTTACAGGTTTCATAAACGCTTTCTTGACCGCGGGTCAAATCATGGCTTTGGTACATTTCAGTATTAACAGATATATAGCAGTTGCATTACCACACTCTTACGAAACAAAGTGCACCAAACAGGCAACTATTTTCTCTGTAGTGTTAAGTTGGCTATATTCTCTCATTTGGACCTTAATGCCTTTCTTTGGATGGGGAAAGCTTGGATTTATCCACGGCACTCTGTTTTGCAACATTTTGTGGTCTGAGGAAATTGCTTATGCGATTACAGTTCAAGTAATGTGCTACTTCCTACCTTGTATAATGGGAGGGATTCTTTACCTAAACGTTTACCGACTCGTAAGATCGCAGGGAAAGAAAGTTTTTGAGACAGCTACGAGTATAGAATTGACGGAAAATGGGTCAGGCAAAGAAAGTACGGAGTCAAACTTAAGCACTGTCACAGCAAGCCCATCTGGAGCAATTTCGTTTCATAATCTTGCTGTTTCAAGGGATGACATCACCGAGTCAGGGTTCACTGATGATAACCGCAATGCTCAGGTCGCTCAGACATGTGCTGCTGCCTTGAGACGAGCTAGACGGCGGAAAGCCATGGAAGCAAGGGTAACTAGAACGCTTTTAGCCGTCGTCATGGCTTTTGTATTCTGTTGGATCCCACGTGGAATCGCGAATGTTTGGGCGATCTTCGCGAGTCGTGAAGATGTCCCGCGCGCGCTTGAGTACATTTCAACGGTTTTTGTTTTTCTTAACGGGGCGGTGAATCCTGTTTTGTACGCCGCGTTGCACCAAGATTTTAAGCACGCATTCATTAGGATTCTTTGGTGCCATAAGCCAAAGACGAAGAGCAACCGAAACGGAGCTTTTACTAATGCAAGTGTTTCTTGACCTGACGAAAAGTGGCGGGAACTGTATGAAAAGGATTAGCCTAGAAGGGATAGGAAATTAATGTTAAGTGTTGATTTACCTGTGCAGCAAATCCTCGAAACGCGCAAAAAAGAATCACGTCACAAATATTCAAGAAGATAGGAAATCAATGATAAGTGTTGGTTTACCTCTGTAGGGAATCGTCGAAACGCGCGCGGGAGAATTACATCTCTCGTTTTATCAATCCTATTCAAGAGGATAGGAAACCAAAGTTAAGTGTTGGTTTACCTGTAAACCAAATCCTCGAAACGCGGGCAGAATAATCGTTTCTCAAGATTTTTTTCACCCTTGTTGATCTCTTGCTTTTAACTAAATGTTCCCAGGAAAAAGCTGGAAAAAATGGTAAAGAATATCAGTAAGAAAAAGTAGAAAATAGAGACCACAGGATTTAAAGCCTCGCATGAACAACATGTAATAGTTTTTAATTTTATTTTTATAGTTGTAACAATAACGTTTGGAGACTGCATTTCACGATAGGAGATAGGCAAAAACGAATTGAACGTTAAAATCACTTAATTGTGGCAGGAGGTCCCTGATTGTGGTTATCGGTTGCTCCCATTGAGGCCTACTGCTTCTATTATGCTTTTAATTACTTCCATAATATTTAGATAAAAAGGGAAAGGTTGCACATTTTAACCAGGCTTCAACTAGGCTTTTATTTTAAGTACTTCAGTTTTCAGTCATAGACCCGGGTGTTTCACACCAAAAAGACAAAAAATGACCTGCTTATTAAACAGTTACTTCCCCCCCCCCCCCCCCCCCCCCCCACCTTTAATTTAACTTCCCCAACAAAATTTTTCCCCCAAAAACCTTTTTTAAGCCTAAACTAAACCAAACTCCCCTTTCCCCCCAAATTAAAACTTTTTTTTTCAGTTTTTTAGTAACCTTACACTTTGGGAAGCTGAATTGTGGTTTTTTACCAAGTCACTTGTGTTAATAATAGGTTATTTTTTTATTTTTTTAATTACTTTCATAATAATTTGATAAAAAGGGAAAGGTTGCCCATTTTAACCAGGCTTCAACAAGGTTTTTTTTTTAAATACTTTATTTTTCAGCCCAAGACCCGGGGGTTTTCCCCCAAAAAAAAAAAAAAAGACCTGCTTTTTAAAAAATTTTTTCCCCCCCCCCCCCCCCTCCACCCCTACACCTTAATCTAAGCTGACTAACCAAATGTATTCCTCTAAAGTCATGTTTAAAGCTAAAACTAAGCCAAGCTCAGCTTAGCACCAAGATTAAAGCTTGTTTTTACAGTTTTGCAGTACACTAACAGTTCGGAGATCTGATAGCTGGTCTTATACCAAGTCACTTGGGTAAATAATAGGTGGATATTGCACTGGTTTGCTGAAGTCACAATCAGGATTGCTGTCCTGGCAATCAATCAAGCTGAGATCAGTTTTATCCAGGCACAACTCTACACTATCAAGCATCTGGCCCATACCCTACAATGAAGGAAAATAACCATTAGGGAGCATAAAGAGACTTTCTCACGCTTTTTTGCTACCTTTTTAATTAAAAACCAAAAACGTTTCTCACATCAACTGAATTTCAAAAATACTGGTCTTGTTTTGTTATTTAAGGCTATATTTAGGCATTGAAACTGTTTCCTGTTGTCTGTCGAAACGGATGACGAGGATGGAAATAGATAGAAGTTGGGCGAACTTCCTCAAGTTTTAATGCAATGCCAGCAAAACTCAACAAAAACTGTTATGGTTGGTACTCCGGCCTTACGTTGTCTTGTTCATATCTCCACAGGAGCATTATGTGTAACCTGTGAACAGGCTCTCTGTTTGGGGAAAAAAATAGCAAGGAAAGGGAAAGTTCCTAGTTCCCCGCTCGACCAAAGGCCTGTTCACAGGTTACATTTTGTGTGGATAAAGGCACTAAGTAATGACGCCACCTACCCCTCCCCTAAGCTAACATTAACACTTACTTCTCACTTAGGGCAAAATGTTGGCTTAGGGAAGGGATAGGTGGGCAGCTGTAATGACTTCATCACAGAATTGACCTAAAACAGCAATATCCTCCTCTCCTGACATGGTCTCTTTAGACAAAGATGTTTTTGAGCGACGCACGTCAACCAGTAGACTGCAAAACAGTCGGTTTTTTTCTCAAAATCAGTAAAGAATTCGGTAAAGCGTGGCGTCTTAAGCGCGCAAAGCGCGCGAGCCTCACACGCCCGTTTGACTGCTCGCGCGTACTTGAATACGCAAAAATACGGACGGTTTTGCAGTCTAGTCAACCAGAAGTGGACTTTTTGCATGTTTTTTGCCCAATTTTTCGGCCAAATTGGCTCTAAAAGAGTAATAAAACTTAGCAGCACATATTTGGTAGTGTCAATGTATATTAGACAGAAAAAGGCCTGATTTCCGTTTGAAAAGCGTCGCCCCACAACGTCTTCCCTTAAGCTCTCTAATATCTCTCCTTCCCACCCTCAAAAATGACCTTCCCATATCACTTACACCTACATTAAATTTTTTAAATCTCTTCAAATTTTCAAGAAGAAGAAGAAAATAGTCAGGGAGACGTTATCGGAAATTGATCCAGGTCTCAGAACTGTAGCTCACTGCCCATACCTCAACACCATGGTGGATTTCCTGAGCAGAACGTTTTTGATGAACGGCCAATTAAAGTGTACCATATCGAGTTAGAGCTTAACCCTAATCACTACCGTAACAGGAAATGCTTAGCCCTGATCACTATATTCAGTGTTATCACCAAAGTCAGTGATTAACTTTAATTACTATAGTCAATGCACTCCCTTCTCCGTAAGGTATTACTTTGTGTGGGTACCATAAGGTGTCAAAGCTCATTTTGGAGGATGGAAACGAATGATAACCGACAGCAATAACAGATTCAGAGTGATTATCAATTTCAGTGTCGAAATTTTTTTTGGCGTGATAAGATTGGTTCGGTTTTGCCCCCGGGGAAAGGGGCGGGGCACACTCTTATTTGGCCCGAACGTGCCTTTTCCGCTGAACAGGGTATGAACTTTAGGGTCTTGTGTCTTACACACGGTATACAATTTCACTACCCGTAGCCTGCGTTACAGCTGGCCCACGTATCGTCAGAACCATTGGTATTGTCCGTTTGTGGTTTTCTAACACGATATCGTGCACTAAATCGCAGACGGTCTATACAGGCGATTTCCCTTTCGAACCCACTGGAAGCAATTTGTTGCTAAAACATATCTTGATTCCAGGCGACGAAAAATACTTCAGATTTTTCATACACATTTTGGTTCGGCCCAAGAAAGACGTTTCCACAGTTTTGCGTCAATTGCGGAGCCAAGGGGAGGTACATGGGAAATTTGTCCAGCTACGTTGTTTAAAATGCGGATAACACTATCCCTTGGATAAATCTCTATCCAGTGGATAGCGCAATTGATTTCCCTAATACTTAGCCGCTGGATAGTGATTTATCCTGTGGATAGCAATATCCATGGCCAGCTTTTGAACAACTGGGGCCAGATCAAAACTGTAAACAGGCGATGATTTCAGCACGAGTTATCGAAGTTGAGGCGCAGCAAATTCGATGACGATCGACGTTTAGCGCAACTACATGGCGATTCTCGCGGTTTACCAATTTCTGTCCGGCATATTTGTTTATACACTTATTATTTAACAGAACAAACATTTAATAATAATAATAATAATAATAATAATAATACGTTGAACAGTACAACGTAATAATTGACGTACTGGGTGGTTACTCTAAACACGTAGAGAAGTCGGTGAGGAAGCTACTAGGAGCGAGAGCACGGGGCGTACTTGAGCGGACGCAGAAGTCGGTCATCTTAAAGACTTTGAACATTGCCAGAACATTAAAGATAAATACTTAGTTAGGGCGCTTAGGACACCAGATTTTAGGGGTTTTTTTCTCCAGAAACCCTGAAACACAAGTGTCGCAAAACCTGTAATTTACTGATGTTTTTACGTAGATTTTATAGAGTATTAGAGTTTGATATTATCCTAAATAGGCTTTTAGTAGAGATAACCACATTATGATGGCCTCGTGTAGGTTTATAAAAGATAATGAGAGTATAAAAACTGAATAATTTTCTAAATAGGCTTCCAGTAGAGATAATTATATCATCACGTCTTTGCGTAGGTTTTACAGAGTGTAAGAATTTAATAATATTCTAAATTGGCTTTTTAAGTAGAGAGATTCACATCATTATGTATATCAGGATTGTATTAGGTTTTTTACCGAACTTTTTTTACTTCCAAGTATAGCTTCTCAAGTGGTGTAGGTTACGTTATGCGCCCTATACTACTCATAATGTGGACAGCATTCCAAAGTTTTATACTGCGAGATAATAATAATAATAATAATAATAATAATAATAATAATAATAATAATAATAATAATAATAATAATAATAAAAGCGCATTTAGCTCGCACTGATGTCGCTGCAAAAACTCGTCGCTATTGTTGCGCATAAATACCTATGTTGGAGCGTTTCAAGTCACTCACGTGATTACGTGTGCATTGCCACACCTGTTGATTGGTTGGAAATGCAACCACTAGTTTCAGCACCCAATCAGGCCCCAGTTGTTCAAAAAGTTGGATAACGTCATCCAATGTATTTCATCCCTATCCAGTGGAAAACGCATGTGCCATTTTCAAGTTGACATCATCTGACTACAACTACCAGAATTCATTTCGTTTCGGCGTTCTTGTTTCAATTTCCCAATACAAGAAAATAGCCTAAAAGCAATAGCCTTAATTTCCTCAAAGAAAAGGGAAGACCCAAGGATCCTGCTTGTTATGGTACAACGGCGTCATCGTGCAATTGTTCTACTGGTTTCCTTAATACTTACCAGGTTGATTGCGCTATCAAACGTTTGAACAAACCGGTACTAAGATAGTGTAAACCATAAAACACGTGACAAGCTAAAAACGTGCCAATATGAGCGAGTTACCTCGGTTTTGTAGCAAGTCATTCTGATACGAACTCGAAAGAAGTCAAAAAGGACGCCTTGAATTTCCTTCACCTGCGAAAGAAAAAAGAAAGGTAAAAAAACGGCAAAACTTCAACACTTAATACGAGCCACGACATTTTATTTCAAAAGAAAGGCAAAAGAACACGATATATAAATAAAGCTGTCCCATTTGTTCACAAATCTCAAGGTCGTAAATATCCGCTTCATATACGTAGGATAGACATCAAAGGCCTTTAATGAGGCCGGATTTTTGAAACGCGGAATCTAGCGAGATTTGCAGAATGGAAAGGGCCAAAAGGCTGGGTTTTTTTTCGCGACCAATAAGGCCGAAGACAAAAGAAAAGGAAAAATAGCCGGCAACTGAGGGTGAGGAGAAAGAAAGGAGGAGAAGAAAAAAAGTAATGCTAGGCTTTACTCTTAGTTTTTATATTTGCCGGAGGAGGTTTATTTGGCGGATGACGTTTTCAAAAAAACAGCTACGTACACATTTGACCAGTATAAACAGAGACAGAGTTTGAAGTCGTAAAAAAAGGCAGATCAAATCATTCTTCTTACCTGGTACGTTGCATCATCTGATGGTACAATTCCACTCTGTTTAAGGATGCTATTTACAAGAAACATAGTCACATATGTTAACAAATCTTTTAAACCCCACCATTAGCGGCCGCAACAGTACTTACCGAGGGCATGGTAAGCCATACTCAGTATCTTTAAACGATACTTCACCAAATGATACAAAACTTATCAATCCTCAAGGAATTCTCGCATTCTCATATTCATTTTCAAGCGGGGTAACCTTCGTTAACAAGGTTGAGACGCAAGTAGCCTGCGAGCAAGCTCTTCTCGCTGCTCGCTCGCGCGTTCTCTCGCGGCTCGCTCGTGCGTTCGCTCGCCCAAAGAGGTGAGCTTGCTCGCAGGCTAAGACGCAAGCTGTCTAGTTAACCCGTGAATAAAAAAAAATACAGAATTAATACAATATCACAGCGACATACGCAATCTCAACCCTCCCACCCAGTAAATGCGCCATCAAAACAAGATCGTAGTTATGACATAAGTAGATCGAACTTTCTCTCAATTGTACTTAATGCAATATCATAGGCGGCGGAGCAGGGGGGGGAGGCGGGGCTGCCTGTCCCACGTTTTGGTGCCGAAAATATCGCTAGTAAAATTACCTATGGCATAGGCGACATCACAGCGCACATTTACTGCGCACAGACGGCTCAAGAACTACCTAAGAAGCACCATGAAGCAGGAATGCCTGAACAACTGCCCACTGATGCGGTATAGCGCGCTGGTCCCGTGTGAACGAAAGGCGGACCGTGCACGTTTTTGTCCGTTCAAAAATTTGTCCGGACTTGTGTTAATGGATCTCAGATAGCGGAGATTAAGGAAGTGGGCGCACACGTGGCAAAGTGCTCCTCTTATTTGGAAGCTGAAGCTTTCTTTTTTGTATAACTGCAAAGACGACGGAAGAGAAAGCCGCAAAAAAGAAAAAAATGGGTTTCATTATCAAAACAACAGCCCTGCACACTGGGGGATTATTTAGGTATCCCATGATGCAGCGAGGATCAACAAAGATTGCGCACGTGCACGTGTATCACCCATTTGGTGCATGGTACATTTCCTTGATGTCCGCTGCACGACTACGACATGAAATTTACCAATGGAGAGATTTAAGGAGGACATAGACCCACGAAGAACTTGGATACCTTCAGTAACACGTTTCTGGGAAACTGCCCACCTACCCTTCCCCGAAGCCAACATTAACGCTTACTTCTCACTTGGGGCAAAATGTTGGCTTTGGGGAGGGGTAGGTAGGCAGTTTCCCAGAAACGTATAATGATCCAGTATCTCAATCTTAATTCGTTCTCCCCCTCTCCCCAATTCCCTCAATCATGTCAACTCACTGAATACACACTTAAGACGTAAGCATGAATGCGAGGCCTGATGGCCACAAGATTTCCCGCAAACTTTAAAAAAGTAACTAAGGTGACGAAAACAAGAGCGATTTGTGATTTAAAATTCACCTCACAAGACATTCCTGGAGCAATTATAGTAAATGAACGTGCGCGGTGGATAGTGGAGAAAATAACCTTCGGCAAGGATTCTTCGGAAACACATGAAACGTCCAGTCTTTGCTATTATCGGAACGATTATTCCAAAGCGCAGCAGCGCAGTATTTGTGAGAACTATGTTTTGTAGTTGTTGTAGGGTGCACTTTTGCCCTTTTATACTAGTTAATTGCGTTGTGGCCCTTAGGTCTCGCCCTTTCATGCTTATGTCATTAGTGTGTATGATGGTTCCACACCTTACCTGTATAGGTCATACTTGACGTTCAGTGACAGCGTTGTTGTAAAGTACTTGTGCTCTGAGTTCAAAAAAGAAATATTGGTACTGCAAGTTCCATGTTTGTCCCATTCATGTTTCCTTTGTGACGAAAAAAAAAAAAAGAAAGAAAAAATTACGGACAATATCTATAAGAATATGACCAGCGGGACAAGTGTACTACCCCAAGTAAGGGAATCCAAGTCTTGGACTCTAGATTACACACCGTGGATTCCAGATTCCAGGTAGTGGATTCCAGCCTTTGACAGTGGAACTTGGATTCCGGATTCCAACCCCAGGATTACGGATTCTACAAGCAAAAATTTCTCGGATTCCACAATCCAGATTCCCTTTTACGGGGTAAGTGTAGCTAATAAACTGACCAAAAACTTATTTATTTCACTTTTTTTTAATAATTCATCTGTTGATTAAGTTTTTGCAAAAAAGAAGGATTAGCACTTGGTATGCTAACTATAAAGACTGTATTTACTTGATTAAACGCTGCGGCGATTATTAGATTTTCCCCATTTCCAATCTGTCCAATGCAGCGTTTATTTCAAATCACATTTCTTACATCACTAAATCATTCAGTAAATTATTTGTAAATGTTATGTGAAACAGAAATATGTTCTAAGTTATTTGCTGAAAAGGAATCGTAATTGTCTGGGTGGTGTAGATTACCAAGATGTAGCGATTCTTTGTTCAATTCCTTGAAAAAAAGCATTGGTGTAGTGTTCAACGGAGGGCGGCATTTAATCAAGAAAATATCATTGCAGGCCAGATGAACTTGGGACTGGGCCAATTTGTGTTTATCAGAGGGGTGGGGGAGGTTTAATCACTGATTTCTTTTGTGGTGGTGTGTGGGGATGGGGTGTAATACAAAGAGAGAATCTCCATGTTGGGCATCTCTTAAATCTGTTAACTTGTTCTATTTGGATTGTCTGTTTTAATCATAATTATTACTACAGTGGGGTGCATGTAAGTATTCAGAGTCGCCAAAAGCATTTTCACTACAAACAAAGCATTTACAAATGACATATTGTCTGACTAGGACAAGGCATAAACTGACTAACAAGACAAGTAATTTATTAGAGAGAATTCAGCTGAAACACTGAAAACTGTCCAGATTGAACAAATTATTAACTGCCAATCCATGTCTAAAATTTCATACCAAAATTCTGCATTTTCTTGACCTGATTCAAGAGTTGGCCATTGACGTTCAAGTTTCGGCAACAAATCCTGAAAAATGCAAAATTTTCACAAAAAAGTTATTATAATATTATTCTTATCATTATTATTAATTTTAATAATACTTCACCTGTAACAAACACTGCACAGTCCCATGCTTAACTTATTTTAAAGGAAATATCAACAAAGAAGTAGCTTGTCCCTCTAGATGACAAGGGTATAAAATAGCAAAGGAAAAAAAATGAAGAAGAAAAAATAATAAAAAGTGTATACCTTATTATGGGAAATCAATGCTCCATGAAATTAAGGTATTGGAAATTAATGTGACTTAAAATAATGCAAAGTTGATGGATAACAACTTTTGAATACAGTAAAACCTGTATTAAGCAGACACCCATGGGGAATGCTGTAGTGTCCACTTAATACAGGGTGTCCGCCTAATACAGGTTTCGATAGATAAAATCATCTGAGATGTCAAATGCCATTCAAATGAACAGTGAAAACATTTAGAATACTCCTAGAGACTTTGACAATATACATTTGCATAATTTCTTTATTAAAGTGAACCAATTGATCATAGACTGCGAGCAGTCTCTTGTTTTTTTTCGTCTCGTCTCATCTCTGTAATAATAACGTCGTGGATTGCAATCGCGCTGGATGAGATAAGAACAAGAGGGATTTTAAGAGAAAAAGGTTGACTGCAAGTAGTCTAATTGATCATAGTACCATAAACATAGACTGCAACTCAAATTTGAAGAAATCAGATTAGTGAAACAAGCTCTAAAGAAACAAAACGACATAGAAAAAAATACTGTACTTTGAAACTAATCAAATAAGTTCGTCAAGTCAAGTTTTTAAAGTAAAAATCGAACAATGTGTGGGTGACAACCTTTCACATTTCTGGTGTCTGGCATGTTACGTGGTGGAATTTAATTACAAGTGTCCGTTTAATACAGGTTGGAAACAATAGAAATGACTATTTCAGGTACTCTTTAGGTGTCCGCGTCCGCTTAATATAGGTGTCCGCTTAATAAAGGTTTCATGTAAAGTAAATAAGGGAAATAAATTTGGGGACTTCTGCTACTGTCCGTTTAATAGAGGGTGTCCGCTTACTACGGTGTCCGCTCAATATGGGTTTCACTGTAACTGACATTAATATGAAAGAGGTAGTAAGATTTCAAAATGAAGGCAATTAATGTGACACCCAAAAAAAAGCAAAATTTTTCAAGACAATAGGAACAAAGGTAAAAGACTGTATAATCCAAAATGGGAACTATGTTTGTGGGGTTCTTTCCATAAATTATGTACAAAGGGGTCAAGTGAAGAAGTGAAGAACTGTTTCTTGCAGATCATCTACACCCTGAAAAAATGTTTTTCTTTCTTAGGCATCAAGAATGTCAGAAGCGTATCGAGAATTTGGGGCCAGAGGAATGGAAATTAAGGTTGCTGTAATCACTGCTCCATTTGATCAATTGCACAGAAATACACATTTACAAAAATTAATGCAAATTTTTGAAATTTGTGTTTATTTCATGAAGCGTTAATTTCTTATAATAAGGTAGAAATGTTAGGTCACCTGAATCACTGATTCACTGAAGGGCCATGATTCATTACAATACTCTGGTTTGTGTTCTGTACCAATCGTAGGCCTGCAGGATGAACACAAAAAAATCAGTGCATCAAAGTTTTTTGTCATTAGAAAATAATCAATAAAAATAATGCAGAGGGTAAGGGGATTAAGGGGGGTACCAATGAGAAAGGGAAAAGTAATGGTAATGTTAGTATGTGACAGTTGTATGTGTGTGGGGGGGAGGAGGGGGGTTAAGGTGCTTAAAAATAATGGAAATAATTGGTGGCAGAGGGGTGAATAAAAAAGGAGGTAGGTAGAAAAGAGAAAAAAAGAAAAAGAAACCAATATTTCATTTTCGTAAAATCCAACTAGTGGTCTATTATCAATGCTGTGTTCTGATTGGTTGAGCTACTACTAGGCTATATGTTATAGCCCACTGGTAGCGAAAAGCGCGGTCTTTTTGGCAGCAAAAAAGGATTAAAGTCTAGCTTTAACTAGCTAAATTTTTTTTAATCTCGATATTTTTGACCAACTAATGGCCTCATGGGCTATTGACTTAGAGCCCATTCGGCCTCAGGGAATAATTGTTAACTATGCACATTCAGGCTCGAGGAATAATGGTTAAATATGCCATACATTAACATAAAAAAGCTATATGGGGAGTAAAGGACAGTGCACTTGCCTCCCACCAATGTGGCCCAGGCTGAGAAAAAAATTTCCAGTGAGAGCTAAATTGCTTTCTGCCTTGGCTAAATCTATATATTAATTATATACGTTACAGGAAGATAAAAAGGAACTCATGCCAGTCAGTACCATAATCCATGAATTGTCCACTTGGTGACTCCTTCAGGCACACAGCTTTTAGTTTGATTCATTTTAATGCGCTTGAAGTTCTCTTCAGCCTACAAGTTAAAACAAATTAGAAAAGAATTAAATGAATGGAATGAAACATGCCTGGCTGAGTCAGGCCTGTGCAGATCAATGTATGCAAACACGGCAACTTCGAAAGTACAACTACATAGGTTTGACTCTAGATTGATAGGCTTCTCAGCTGGAAAATAAGGCAAGAAAGTTTCTTTTAATTCTATGCTCACTGTGGCACTTATAGATATATTTAAGCAACTACCATTATAAAATATAAGTGCCTATTTCACCCTGTTAACCCATTCGCTCCTGAACCGCCCGTAACCGCCCGTGCAGATCCAGGTCCTTTCTACCCTTTGTGACATCATCAGTTTTAACGGTCAAGGACAACTTTCTTCGCTAACTTGTGCAGAGTGAAAAGATCTTTCGAACCATACCAGAATGAGCAAAGTTCAGTCAAGGACACCGGAGAAAGAAGCAAAAAACCACGTGACATGGACCTGAAAATCTCCATGAAAATCTTGTTCCATTGCCCACCTACCTTTCCTTTCACCTAATCCTAAGATCCTAAACGCTTTCCTAAAAACTATTCCCACCAAAATGAAGCCTACTAAATGCCCAGCAAGAGAAAAAAAAATGAGGCAAGAAAAGCGAAAAAAGAAGGAAGGAGAGAAAGTGAAAAGTAAAAGTCAAGACTGCTTTGTCACTTTTAAACCCAAAAACTATCTCGAAATTTTGCTTTCTGTGCATGCCCGAACTTCGCAAGCTGATATTTTGCATCTGGATCAGAAGGCCGCGAAGTGTACGACCTGTAACCGGTTTGTGGTAAGTTTTAGCTCTTTATAGCACGACAGTGACCAGAAAACCACTCGACCAGCTTCAAAACACGTTTTTCAGCAAAATCTCCAGGAGCGAATGGGTTAACAAGTTAAGCTAAAATAATATCAAAAGATGCCGAGGATATGGAAATGGGTTTTTTTTGGCCTGTAAAATAAGGGAAAGAGTTTTAAAAGCTTAGGGGTGGGGTTGGGGTGACTCCCATGAAAAGGATAGTGATACTCACCAGTAAATAAAGATTTAAACCCATAAAAGAAGAACTATCGGGGTGTACGTGGCTCAGGTTTTATATTCCTAAAATAGACTATACCATAACAGGCAGTCAATTTCCAGAACCAAAACTGAGAATAAAATGTTCAATATTGTATACTATATTTAAGTAATAAACCACACTTTCTATTGGTTTACCGGCGTGATAACCCATGCGGGAAGTTGGGAGAACATGAGAAAAGCTTGTGAATGACGAGCTGAAGGCGAGTGTTTTACAAGCTGGGTTATCACGCCTGTAAACCCATAGAAAGTTCGGTCTATTGCTTTTATCAAATAACTTAAAGTATAACGGAAAATTTTTTCAGTTTTCTATGAGTTTACCAGCACAATAAACCATAGGTTGTTAGCCAATCAGAACACTTGCACTATCTTCATTATTTTGCAAAATAGCACATAACATTTATAGTAAAGATGTGTTTGATTTGCTATTTACATATTTCTTTAAACACTACCCTAGCAAGCAATTAAATCTCTTTGTTTCATTTTGTTAGGGGTGAAATATGAGACCAAAATCGTTGGGCATCCCCAAATTTTCTATTCATATGGGAGTTTCCCTGGGTTTAGAGCGGTTTTCACTTGACTGTTGAAAGTAATTGAGGAATTGGTTTGGTTTTGGTTTTACTACGCCCTTTGGTTGGCTAGTGTTTTACGACAGTCAAGTGAAAACCGCTCTAATAGGCAGGTCATACCAAACAAATTCAAGGGTGGTCATCTTGCCTTTTCTAAATAATAAAAAAAAATACCTACATCGATCTTGTGTTAGAATAATCAAGAGATGAAGGAAAAACTTACCATTTGATCATAACACATGGTCTGGGGCCACCACTGGGTTAAGATAAACAGATTAAATTCTGCATCCACAGAATCTGTTCTGCTGAAAATGAATGCAGGTTTGTGACTATGGATATAGCTTCAAAGAGAGATTTCAAAGACTGTTTTTAACTTCCCTGCAGTTTCAGTCTGGACTAGACTCAAAATCTTCAATGAGAGTGCTGTCAACATCATATTAATGTGCTTAGACTGTGAGTTTTGTCCACAAACGCACGGAAAACAACTAGCTACAACTAAAAAGAACTGTTTTATTGAAGGAATACATCAAAATAATTTATGCAATTAAGTTCAGCAGAATGTGAAGTTCAACAAAGTTGACTTCTTGCCAATTTCTATTGGAAGAGCTCATGATCGGCCAATAACAGAATATATATTGTGGGACGACCCAAATTCAAATCTGTTTATAATTTATTATCCTAATTGATTCACATATTGCAATTTACATGTGCCAAACTTAATAGTTATGTTTGAAAGTTTGATGTTTGAACTGGGCCTTAGTTACACCTTCATTCCTTTTACTTAATACTTAAAAAAAAGAGGAGATGTTTAATCCCCTTTTTAATGGAGCAGTGTTATACAGCCTGGAATAAGATATGTTGACGTCTCCAAACTGTCTGCCAGGCATGTCTGCAGACCACTGAGATAAATCTATTGTCTCTAAACTTTTGGGTAAGTCATGCAACAATTATTCTTCACCAAAGATCACAAGCAAATGTTAGAAAAAAAAATCATGATGTAATAAAATAAAACCATGTACCAGATGTCAGCTAAGGCTTTGGGGGTATTAAGTATCTTCTTTGGGGTTTACAGTTATTAAGGGAGATCTTGGTATATTGGCCAACACTTTTCCAGATGTATACCTAGACAGGTAAGCCCCTCCCCAGGCAACCCTGAACTACCAAAGAAAGAGCAAGCCCCAAACCAAAGCACTGAGTTTTCTGGTAACCTTGCTGCTTGAAAGGTGTTAAAGAATGGGAAAATGATGATCAAATATGATAAATACTGTATTTCCAACTTAGTTCAACGCTGGAATGCCCACCTTAGCTAAAAAACTATTCAATAAAACTTCTGCATGTGAACAGGCCTCCCGGTGAGCGCAGTCCCAGATGTTTTTCCATCCAACTCTGTTAATGTTCATGGGAGAATGCATGCATACAATGCAAGAAGAAATATTTCCAGGCGCTTACATTAAACAACAGACCTCTTTTACAAACTTTTCTCGTTTTAAAAGAAATATCTTTGGAACATTTCCGCAAAGATCTATACCCCGGAAACGGGAGTCGGAAACTTTTAAGCCCTCAATTTTTTTCACCCTTCGCTGGCTCGAGCAGTTAATTACGAGCTGCAAGTAACTGAATTTATATAAAGCTTTTAAAGTGAACATGTATCCAAGCGATGAACAGCCGGCCGGTCGGCTGGATACTCAAATGCAAACTCTTATATGCTATCAATAAACATTTCCGTTCAGTTCCTCTCTCTTAAGAATCTTGAGTCAACACGTAAGTGAAATTTATTACCGTTAACGCAATAATTAATTTGCAGTTTCATTGAAGCATTTAATTGAATCACAGTAGTCTCTTCGATGCAAGAAAAGGTATCATTACCTGAAAATACTAAAAGACGTAGCCGTCTGACAAAGCAAAGCCACAGCGAAAACCGGCAAAAACATGATGCCTGAAATCCTGCAATAGATAAGCAAAAAAAGTTGCAAATTTAGAAGGAGAAGCCCTTGTTTGAGCTATTTTTGGCGCGTTAAAAAGCCGATGCCGGAATGCAAACATGAAAACACACCGTACCTTGCCACCAAATTTCACTGTTTGCACAAGTCCACGACCTGATTCTCGTCTGCAAAGAAACTATAGTGTGACGAGAGTTTTTATGACATTTGAGCCGTAAGTGAATTCACGTGAGTTTGACGCGGGTTCGAACCCAACAAACATCACCACCTAAAGCCCCGGCATTCTTTTGTTTACGTCAAGAACCACGTGCCTATTTGTCCGGGGCGGCCTGGGCACTAGAAACCTACCGTTAGTCATTTTTCCAAAACATTTTTCGGTGAACAGTGAACGTTTTTGAAGTAAAAGCATGGCACAAAGCTACGAATTTAGTGAGGAGGAGATTAGAAGAAAGCTAGAAGAACTTGGATATTCAAACATACCTGATGATAAGCTCAAAGAGTTTCAAAGAGGTTTGTTATGGCTTTGTAGAGTTTGGAAGTTGCAAGAGGCATTGATCGGCGAGCTAAGTAATCAATCGATCATGCATCATTGTTTACATGTATGAACTTTCAGAGCTCCTTTCTTTCATAATTGCATTAGGAGTAACTGCAGAATACCCTGCCACTTTGAAGCTGTATCCCTGCATTATCTTTTCTGTATCTCGAGCCAGTAAAGCCTGGTTTCCATATGATCGTCCGGATCGTCCCAGTCGTCTCAAATAATGTTCAGACGATTGAGACGATCATATGGAAACGCTACTTAGACGATCGCAAACGACCCGGACGACCTTGAGTAGAGATCAGGGCGATCGGGACAATTGTGTAAATTTTGAAGCGATCAAATGGAACTGAGACGATCGGGATGATCGAAGGCTATCCCAGAAATCATCACTTTTAATCCAGTAGTCAAGAATGCATTTAGCCTGGACTCCACTGGAGTCGAAAAAAATAATACAAAAATGTTCGCACTACGTATGGGCACTATTTGAAACTAAAGAAAGTCCATTACATCACGTTCGCAATGTGATACTATGACTTTGTGGAACTCTTCTAGCTTCTTGACGCTGCAAAATCGAGAGGAAAAGCAGATAGCAAGGCAAAATCCTTTGTTATGTTTGGCTTGTTTGCAAAACACGCGCAAAAATTCTATTGTCTCACCCAGAGATATTGCTGATGACCCCGCGTCTCTTGTCTTTGAGGCTGTTGAAACGATTATGTGGAAACTACCAGTCACCAGTCGCCCAGATCGTCTCAAAATTTTTTTAAATGACTGGGGCGATTGGGACGATCATATGGTGACCAGGCTTTAACTTAACTTGCTTGAGTTGCATGTTTTTAGAGAAGAAACCCTTGCTTAAAATTTGACTTAATCCTAGCTTAAACTTTTTTCGAGGAACCAGGGCAGGGTTGCTCAAAGCTGGGTTAAGATAACCCAGGGTTAGAGCGAAATTTGAATTCAGATACGAAAGCTTAAAAAGTAAATTCAGTTTAATTCTTTTTGTCAACGAGTTGATGTTTGGATGCTCCTAAAAGTAACAGAGAAAATTATCCAGCGAGAAAAATGCTTTTTAACAAAAGAAAAGAAAGCTGGGGTTTTAACCCTGGGTTAAGCGTTAATCGGCCTTCGAACGTCTGGGCCCAGGCCTAAAACTTAGCCGGACAGTTTGACTCTATTTTTGTTGTTTTGCTGAAAGAGGTATTCTCTCAACCAAACATTTTCCTCTTTTCTATCGACAGTATAGATATACTCTCGATCTAGTTTAAATATTTACAATTATATTACACCTGGTTATATTTTGCCTTGTAGACCTTAAGCATCTTATTGAAGCTGAAAGAGCAGAATCAAGAGGAAGGGGGCATTTTAACTCTTCCACTAGTGACAGCTATTATACTGACAGTTACTTAGATGGGAGCAGAGATAAAACTTCATCATCTTCAACGAGTGGTATGCAAATGTATATTTACCTGTCACAACTCAACCTTAGTTGGGATGGGGGTAGGTAAAGCCCCTTAGAACATGGGCCATGGGATGAGTCGATTCTCGTTCGCCCCGCTGGTATAATGCATGATATCAGTAACAACAATTTGCCACCAAATCTCCCAAATTTACTTGAAAAACCTTGTCGATTCATTTGTAAAATTATTCATGATCATCCAAGTCTATGCTCTATGGACAATTGAAGGGAGCCCAGTGCTATAAACTTGTAAAATCTAGGGTGCCCTGCATTTGATTAAGTATTAAAAAAACTAAGAAATCTATAAAGAAGTCTAGTTGCCCAAGAACAAAAGTTGGGTGCCAGGGGCCACCGGGCTCTGCTAGTCTTAGAGTACAGCCCTGTCATCTACTTCAAAGCTGGAAAAACACAAAACTCCCTCTCTTGTTTTGGCGTAAAACTTTGGAATGAGATACCCTGTCATATTAGCGATCTTCCTAAAAAGGAATTTACAAATGTAAATCAGGGATTTGCTGTCCGATATTTTAAAAAGAGAAAATGACTATATTGAGACGCCATTGATAATTTGAAAGTTGGATTAACAGTTATTAATAATTTGTATGTATAAAATAACATGCCTTCCAACTCTCTTTCAATTCCTTTTTTGTTTTTTAATTTCCTTAAATAGATGTGGGGATTGTGGGGCAGTCTATTGTAAACTTAATAAATAAGGTTGAAGTTGGGAACGAGAATGGTTGGAATGGGGTGAGTCTTGGTTGCTCGCTTGTGAGGGCAAGGTTATTTTGTGATCGGGGTTAGAGATCTAACTGAAAGCTTTTTTTCATCTGCAAGCAAACCTCCTGTTTAAAAAGCTTTTGATCAATCGCATTTGCATTTTAACTGAACTACTCCCATCTTAGCCCAAAATGTTAGACATCTTTCCACCCTTGTCCTTAAGCCCTGAACAGTTGTTTGTTCGGTTGCAAAGGGATCCTTAACGTGATAATAAAGAATGTTTATTTTTGTGTTTTCTCATTTAGCTTTAGACAGCATCAAAGAGAGACATTCTGTGCCTGATAAATACCGATATCCTCTTGAGGATACTGTGTTTCCAAGACCAAAATCAGTTGCAAGGAGATTAGAAGAAAGCTAGAAGAACTTGGATATTCAAACATACCTGATGATAAGCTCAAAGAGTTTCAAAGAGGTTTGTTATATTGGAAGTTGCAAGAAGCATGTTTGACCGCGAGCTTAGTAATCAATCGATCATGCATCTTTGTTTTTTGTTTTACTTTTAGATGTATGAACGTTCAGAGCTCCTTTCTTTCATAAATGCACTAGGAGTAACTGCAGAATACCCTGCCACTTTGAAGCTGTATCCCTGCATTATCTTTTCTGTATCTCGAGCTAGAGGCCAAACAGTAAAGCCTGGTTTCCATATGATCGTCCGGATCGTCCCAGTCGTCTCAAATAATGTTCAGACGATTAAGACGATCATATGGAAACGCTACTTAGACGATCGCAAACGACCCGGACGACCTTTAGTTGAGATCAGGGCGATCGGGACAATTGTGTAAATTTTGAAGTTATCATATGGAACTGAGACGATCGGGATGATCGAAGGCTATCCCAGAAATCATCACTGTCTTTTAATCCAGTAGTCAAGAACACATTCGGCCTGGACTCCACTGGAGTCGAAAAAAATAATACAAAAATGTATTATTAATGTATCACTGCGTATGGGCACTATTTGAATCTAAAGAAAGTTCATGACATCACGTTCTCAATGTGATACTATGTCTTTGTGGAACTCTTCTAGCTTCTTGACGCTGCAAAATCGAGAGGAAAAGCAGGTAGCAAGGCAAAATCCTTTGTTATGTTTGGCTTGTTTTCAAAACACGCGCAAAAATTCTATTGTCTCACCCAGAGATATCGCTGACGACCCCGCGTCTCTTGTCTTTGAGGCTGTTGAGAGGATTTTGTGGAAACTACCAGTCACCAGTCGCCCAGATCGTCTCAAAATTTTTTTAAATGACTGGGGCGATCGGGACGATCATATGGTGACCAGGCTTTAACTTAACTTGCTTGAGTTGCATGTTTTTAGAGAAGAAACCCTTGCTTAAAATTTGACTTAATCCTAGCTTAAACTTTTTTCGAGGAACCAGGGCTGGGTTGCTTAAAGCTGGGTTAAGATAACCCAGGGTTAGAGCGAAATTTGAATTCAGATATGAAAGCTTAAAAAGTAAATTCAGTTTAATTCTTTTTGTCAACGAGTTGATGTTTGGATGCTCCTAAAAATAACAGAAAATTATCCAGCGAGAAAAAATGCTTTTGAACAAAAGAAAAGAAAACTGAGGTTTTAACCCTGGGTTAAGCGTTAATCGGCCTTCGAACATCTGGGCCCAGGCCTAAAACTTAGCCTGACAGTTTGACTCTATTTTTGTTGTTTTGCTGAAAGAGGTATTCTCTCAACCAAACATTTTCCTCTTTTCTATTGACAGTTCATACTCTCAATCTAGTTTAAATATTTACAATATTACACCTGGTTATTTTTGCCTTGTAGACCTTAAGCATCTTATTGAAGCTGAAAGAGCAAAATCAAGAGGAAGGGGGCATTTGAACTCTTCCACTAGTGACAGCTATTACACTGATAGTTACTTAGATGGGAGCAGAGATGAAACTTTGTCATCTTCAACAAGTGGTATGCAAATGTATATTTACCTGTCACAACTCAACCTTAGTTGGGATGGGGGTAGGTAAAGCCTGTTAGAACATGGGCCATGGGATGAGTCGATTCTCGTTCTCAAAGCTGCGATCCTTTTGGTTAGCTCCGCTAGTATAATGCATGATATCAGTAACAACAATTCGCCACCAAATCTCCTAAATTTATTTGAAAAATCTTGTCAGTTCATTTGTAAAATTATTCATGATCATCCAAGGCTATGCTCTATGGACAATTGAAGGGAGCCCAGTGCTATAAACTTGTAAAATCTAGGGTGCCCTGAATATGATTTGTATTAAAAAACTAAGATTTTCTAGTCGCCTAAGGACAAAAGTTGGGTGCCAGGGGCCACCGGGCTCTGCTAGAGTACAGCCCTGTCATCTACTTCAAAGCTGGAAAAACGCAAAACTCCCTCTCTCGTTTTGGTGTAAAACTTTGGAATGAGATACCCTGTCATATTAGGGATCTTGCTAAAAAGGAATTTACAAATGTAAATCAGGGATTGCTCTCCGATATTTTAAAAAGAGAAAATGTCTATATTGAGATGCCATTGATAATTTGAAAGTTGGATTAACAGTTATTAATATGTATGTATGAAATAACATGCCTTCCAACTCTCTTTCAATTCCTTTTTTGTTTTTTAATTTCCTTAAATAGATGTGGGGATTGCGGGGCAGTCTATTGTAAAACCATTTTTAATAAATAAGGTTGAAGTTGGGAACGAGAATGGTTGGAATGGGGTGAGTCTTGGTTGCTCACTTGTGGGGGCAAGGTTAATTTGTGATCAGGGTTAGAGATCTAACTGAAAGCTTTTTTTCATCTGCAAGCAAACCTCCTGTTTAAAAAGCTTTTGATCAATCGCATTTGCATTTTAACTAAACTACTCCCGTCTTAGCCCAAAATGTTAGACGTCTTTCCACCCTTGTCCTTAAGCCCTAAACAGTTGTTGTTTCGGTTGCAAAGGGATCCTTAACATGATAATAAAGAATGTTTATTTTTGTGTTTTCTCATTTAGCTTTAGACAGCATCAAAGAGAGACATTCTGTGCCTGATAAATACCGATATCCTCTTGAGGATACTGTGTTTCCAAGACCAAAATCAGTTGCCCATGTGACAAAGGTAAGAACCAGTAAAAGCGTCAAACCTGTACAGTGGAACCCCGCCTTATGGCCACCTCGGTAATATGTGGTCACCTCATTTTCATGGCCAGTTTTTTCATCCCAGCAAAATGGCCATACATTTCCTTATAAAAAACCCCAGTTAATGTGGTAACCCATTATTACAGCCAATGGGCACAAGGTAAAATCCCAAATGATAGAATCACTTATAATTTCACCCTGTTAATAAGGCCCATCGTTCGAAAAATAAAATGCCTGTGACATGTCAATTTTATTGACCTAGTAATATGAGCTTATTTTTGTACTGTTTTTGGACTACAGTACACTTAAAATGCACTGGTGGAGATTTATTATTATAGCCAAATTTTAAGAGTTTCATGTACTGAAGGAAAAATTTTGAAGTAGTTTTTTCAATTACTGTACGTGATATGTACTTTCCAGTTGTTTATTAATGAGAACAGTAAGTTGTTCAAAAAATGCAAATGCAATCTATGGTCTATTTGTCATTATGGCCCTAAAATCATGAAATCTGAACNCAAACGGTAGAATCTCTCATAATTTCACCCCACTAATACAGCCAATCGTTCGAAATTTAGAAAATTAAAATGCCTGTGATATGTCAATTTTATTAACCCAGTAATCTGAGCTTATTCTTGTACTATTTTTAGACTACAGTACACTTAAAATGCACTGGTGGCGATTTATTATTGTAGCCAAACTTTAAGAATTTCATGTACTGAAGGAAAAATTTTGAAGTAGTTTTTTCAATTACTTTATGTGATATGTACTTTCCAGTTGTTTATTAATGAGAACAGTAAGTTGTTCAAAAAATGCAAATGCGATGTATGGTCTATTTGTCATTATGGCCCTAAAGTCATGAAACTTGAACCTGCCCGATAATATGGCCACACCGTTAACACAGCCAGTTTTTTTTTTACCCATTGGTGACCATATTAATGGGGTTCTACTGTATAGAGTGTTTTCACATGACGTCACGGTGGCCATATTGGTGTCCCAAAGCAATGAAACGGCGGCCATGTTGGTGTCCCAAACCAATCATGTGGGGGTTGAACTCTTTTGTTATGCAAACGCTTTCTTTTGTTCCAATAAATTTGCATAGATGCTGGCCACGTGTGTCAAAACACTCTATTAATGGGCTTGCTCTAAGCAGTCACTCTCTCAGCTCTTGTGGTCACCTTTTTCTGTGGTCCCAACTAGTTATATTTTATTGTCTTCACCTCTAAGTTTAATGGTCACCAGCATGTTTCTTGTTGTACTTTAGGTCAGCTATGATGGTAGGCAATTGCAAGCCATCGGTATTTTTACAAATGAAACAATGATGAAAAGTTGCCACACTGTAATATCATTATGAGGTCAAAACCTTATCACCCAACTTCAGTCTGGCCCTCCTAATTACTGATTATCGTAGTAAGCTGTAACCAAAATGCTAAAATTATTGCAAGGTAGCACTGCACGTATTTAACGGTCATTAAAATTATTTTATTAATATAAACAACCCCTTGCATGCTGTTCAATTGAACCCAAATAAAACATTTACTGTTCACAAACTTATCTCTGTAATAACAATTGAATTATCTTACACATGAAAGACATACAACATTATGACAAAAGTAAGAAGGAGAATATTTTGAAAGGGGCTCCATGGCTGAATAAAAAATAGTCATAGGCTACTGCTAACATCAGTCGGAGAATTCTGCGAAGTAAATGGGTAATTCTCTGATCTCTGATGCCTAATAAATACCCTGAAAAAGGTACATTTAAGGTATTCTCCTTCTGTACAAAAATTAGGCAAGTCATGAGGCTTTTGGTAAAGAGAATGCATCACATTATTACCCAATGAATGGTCCTTCAGTCAGAGCAGAATCAACCTCCACTGTGGGGAGTTCGCCTAATGAGCAATCAGGGCTAAGCAGTAGAAATGTAAAGAGGAAAGTGTTGAGAAGAAGAAATGGGGAATCAAGAGTGTTTGATGAGTCATTTGCTAGCACTGATTCTGGTAAGTTCAATTCTACTGAAGTGGAATTGGCTGCAGTGTCTTTCCTAACTTTTTTTACTGCACATATATGTGCTTTGGGAACAAATTCCAGGCGTACACACATGACAAATGAAAAGAGCCATGGGACCATTGAGCATGATATAGAGTTTTTGTCATTAAAATACTGTAGATAAGTAAATAATAAAAAAATGGCCTTGTGTGATACCAATACCATCTGAGCTAGAATACAAAATAATTGATATTACCAATGCTATTGTTAGTTAATAAATATTAAACCCATCAACAATAGATGGGTGTGGGGAAGGTGCATGAAGAAGCGGAAGGGGGCCGCAAGTGATCTTAGAAGCCAGAAGACCCATCTTTCTTATTGTTAGCTGAATCTCTTAGTATATAAAGCCACACTGCTATAGATCCAAATGGAACGAGTGAGATTTAAAAATATATCAATTTTATAATAGCAGAGTGGAGCAACACACAAGTTAAGCCCCATAGCTAAGAAAATTTGGTCCTCTATCCATCCGAGAAATTTTGGTAGTCATGTGACCATATATCCGTCCAACTGTCTGTCCATCCACCCATCCGTCTGCACCACAGGGCAAGCAATGTAAAATCTCATACTTTTTGGCAAGTGTGGGAGCCTGCAACCTGATTATTGCACACCCATATTGTTGTCAATTGACAACTGTCGAAAAAGGGTATCTGCTGACCAGGATCACGTGACCATATCGTGGGCTAAGGTGTCAAACCATTGAGGTTACATGTTTTTTTGAAGTTATCCACTGACAAGTTACAAGTTTTCAACTGATCGTAGGCTCAACTCCAAGTGGATTTCTTTGCGATGATTACAAGTTTATTGTTTGAAGTAAATTATAATTTATTAACAGGATCTTCGCTTTTAGCCTTGGGTAAATCTTTTTATTATTTTTAGTCACAGACATATCTGAATTAGAGCAGAGAATACGGGACCTTCCACTCCATAGTGACGAGGCTGGTGATGAAGATATCATCAGTGTAGCAAGTGAAGGATCAACTGAGCCAAGCGATTACAGACCATGGGAAAATCATGCTGACAGAGCTTTATTACCTTCGTGTAAGTTTATCAATAAAATGTACCAGTACATCAGCAACAAGACTAGTTATTGGTTTAATTTGTTATAGAGTGACACTCAAACCGGAAAACTTAGAAGACAACTGACCAATCACAACGTTTTCTGGAAAAAAGGATTCTCAAGTTTTTTTTTGCAAACAGACCAATAAAATTCATAAATTTGAGAGCTGTTTCCTGAGAGGTCAGGTAAGTTCAAATGGTTATAAAGTTTTCAGTGGTTGCATAGTTGAATACTTGAATTTTATTGGTCCATTTGCAAAAAACTTAGAATCTTTTGTCTTCAGAAAATGTTGTGATTGGGGGTCAATCAAGTGTCAAGTAAGAGTAAAAATTTTCCTATCCATTTGTCCTTCTGGTCAAACAAAATTAGCTCAAAACTCGAAACTCAAAAACAATATTGGGCATTTAACCCTTGTTAATTTTTTTTTACTTAAACCTAAAACAGAGCTCCTAAAAACGATAAAATGACCATTGAATGGCGAAGTTAAAAGGAACATTTAACCTTATTTTGTTAAGTATGAGGTTTGCTTTTATGACTTTTAAGATGAATTTTAATTCTACTGTAATTTGAAGACAACTTTCTAATAAATGTAAAAATGTGCTTGTCCCACGGAAAAGTCATGTCAAAGGTTTACAAGTCCGAACGAAATTTCTACCTGTCCCCGACAATCGGACACAGGTTTTGGCACATCCTTGTGTCCACACTGTAATACTGTAACAGGCAATGTACATTGTTTCATGGTGATGTTTTTTTTTGTTCTGTATGTAAATATTTTTCAAGCATAGCCTATTAAAATTATACATTTGTACCCTTTGGTGCAATTGGCCATTTTCACCGGTGTGTCAAGTATTTATTACTTGTCATTATATATTAGTTGAAGTAATTGGAAGAACCGTCACAAAGAGGGCAGAGCTGTCATTAAGGGCAGCCTGTAACACTTAACACCTGTTATGGCTGATCTCACTTGATGTTACAGGTGATCACAGTGGAAAGCTAAAGATTACACTGTAAATTTTTTGTGAGATGTTACAGGTGAATCTTCGCTTGCCAGGGCTGCTTCAAAACTTTATGACAGCCTCTAGAGGACTCTGAATTTGTTTAGTGAATGGTGATAGTAGTCGTTCTCAACCGTAAGGAGTTTCGTGTATTTGTTTTATTGGTTTATAACCTATCACTTTTCTTTGCAGTTATAAGGCCTGTCGTTGGTCCTCCTCTCTCTCGAAAGAAGACTGATCCAGTGTCAAGGTTTGAAATACATTGGATAATTTCTACCAAACTTTTCATTTCCTTAAAAATAAAAAATGTTCACGTTCTTATTGTACATGTATTTCATTATCAGGTATCACCAGTTTAAGGATGAATGGAAAGCTAAAAAAGCACCTGGAGAAAAAAGCCACAAAAATCTTCGCTGGAATGTCCGGGTAATGAGTGATTATATTGTATTTTCATTATTCCAAATCAGTCTTATACACAGAATCATTCAGATTCTTTAAGATTAGGGGAAATTATCCAGTGCAGCCAGATGTGTTTGAGTTCTTGGAACTAATATTAATGTCATCTTTTGTTCTTTTTCCAAAAGGGGAAAATGTTGCAGTGTGATGTGTTTGAGGTAAGTGAAATTAACGGCTTCTTCATTATAATAATAGTATTAGTATAGGTTATAGCATGATTTGTAGTGATATTTGGCATAAATACCATGAGTGATATTTTGAAATTGTTATAATTATACATAATTTCACAGGCCGTTAGGTGAGTGAAATTTGAGACAATTATGAAATATCACGAGTGGCATTTATGCCAAATATCACATACAAATCATGCTATTATTTGTATATACTACTACCCCCAAAGGTTTTGAAATTTTCACATGCAGGTATTTCAAATTAAGCTGAAATACCACTGATCTAAGCCAATCAAATTGCAGAAATTTCTCAGGTAGTAGTGTAAAATCAATAACATTAATATAAATAGTATTTATGATAGTAAAGGGGTGCAAGGAGTATTAATTTTTAATACTGGCCTCAAGTGACTCCTGATTTAATATCAAATTCTCCATTTGATCAAAAAGCAAATGCAAGCCAAACGTAAAGGAGAATTAACATTGTATTAATAGTAACTGGAAGGACAACAATTTCAACTTTTACTTTTGTGGTTGTCTGCAGATTACAGTTTGATGTCGGTTTAGCGTAGCTTAAGAGTCTCGTACACATGAATCGCTAGCTCTCCATTTTCAGCCTCGTTCTCCTTTTGTGTGACTGCTTACACGTAACTTGAATACGCAAAAATGCAGACTGTTTTGCAATCTAAGTTTGATGGTTTATTTTATAATTTCTAACCACCTTCATGGTGCTTAATTATCTTTTCTTTTTAGAAACCTCAACGAAATTATGTCCCCAACAACTATGTAGTCCCTACAGAAAAGAAACGGCAAGCTTTACGGTGGGAAGTGAGATCCAACTTAGCACGAGTGTGACAAGCAATATTTCAGGATGGAAGCCTTAATTATTTATAAAATTCATCACTTGATTAATTTTTGTACACGCAACACAGGTGGCACAAAAAGAACGTGTACAGCTTAGTAGTTAGGCTATTGATCATCATGATTTGTAATATGTAGTTATTGGAATAAATTTGTCATTTATATTTTCTTTGTTGTCAGTTGAGTTCATCTGCACTGTCTTTTGTTAAAAAGGTGACAGCAACATCTATTCACCTAATGTAAATGCAGTTTTTTTCTTGAATTTCTTTACAGTCAAGTCAGGTTCGAGCATACGCCCCCCCCCCCCCCCCCCCCCC